TAAGAAATCAGGTAGCAGAGAGCAAGTAGGTTGGACTTAGGCTGTTTCCAGGAGAACCATGTTGGTGACAGGCTGTCTGGACATACATGAGTTCAAGACCAGGGGAGCATGGGGAGTTGGGGAGCAGTTGAGAGACCCTTGCGGTTATGCAGCTGCCCCAAATGACTCCTTAGAAATCCTCACCCAACTCCATAGATAGCTAGAGACTAATTGGAAATAAACTATACTCATCATATCTAAAATAGACCACGGTCATAGTCTGTGAAAGAGAATGGGTCACTTAAAGCCCATTATGCTTACATCCAGATGCCCTCTCCAAGTATTCAAAGGGTTGGCATTATGTTATTACATAACGAACCTAAGTCTCAATCTAAACCTAAACTGACTGCCCAGAATTACCTTAGTTATGGTAGATGTCCTTGAAAATCCTTCGTGGTTAGTTGTATTGGCTGGATTTTATAGCACACATTCAGCCTGTCATCTGTTGCATTAAAGGACCCTGCCTGGCATTACCCCATCTACACTGAGAAAAAGAAAAAAAATAAAAAGGTCTTTCTGAGTCCATGATAGAGACAAAGCAGATGTCTCAATCAAAGTTAACCTGGTGAAGAGGAAAAAAAAAATAAGCTGTCATTATAATGCACTATAAACGTACCCATCATTATTTAATTGACTTTTCCCTCTGTTCATTATTCTGAATAAAGGTTAATATTAGTTTATACCTATTAGTGAGACCTTTATGAACCTCATATTCTATGAGTCAGAGAAGGTTAATGGAATTGCACGGAAAGATTCTGTATCTTGGTGTGGATGTGGCTCAAGTAGTTGACTGCCTGCCTAGTGGGCACAAATTCAAAACCCAAAGAAACAAAAAAGCCACATTGTGCCTTAAAACTCTGTCCTAAGAGGTTGTATTGTAGTAAAGTCTGAGTCCATTTTTAACACACAAAAGAATTTAGGCTACCTTGCAAAGCAGGGACTGAAGTGAAGGCTGGGCAAATGCGCTACTACAGGGCTACATCCTGAGCCCCAAGCAAGTGCTCTACCACAGGGCTACGTCATTAGCCCCAAGCAAGTGTTTCTTTTGAAGTCTATTACAACTCTCCTCTTACCTGTAGGTCAAAGCAACAATAACTCTGATACCTGTGCAGAATTTCGAATAAAGTATGTTGGAGCCATTGAGAAACTGAAACCCTCTGAGGGCAAAAGTCTCGAAGGACCACTAGACCTGATAAATTATATAGATGTTGCTCAGGTAAGAAAAGACTCCATCCAAAGCCTCTTAAGAAATGAAACATGGTCTTTTGGGTCTTCTGGGTTGGACTACTGTTGTGCTGAAGGCTCAGTCTGTGCCAGGTTTCCTGGAGATTGAGCTGCATAGGAATGGCTTCTTCATTCACTCAGACCTTCTATGGGCTAACTAACTGTTGGTGACCTCTTATTCTTTAGGTTTTTCCTTAAATCATCCTGGCAAACTTTACTGATGCTCCACTGAACTAGTTTTACTAATTCAAAGACTGGTGCTGATGGCTCACATCTGTAATACTAGCTACTCAGGAGGCTGAGATCTGAGGATCAGTTAGAAGCTGGCCCTGGGCAGGAAAGTCTGAAACTCTTATCCCCAATTAACCACCAGAAAATTGGAAGTGGAGGTGTGGCCCAAATAGCACCGCATGAGCAAAATGGCTCAGTGACAGCACCTAGGCTGACTTCAAGCCCCAGGACCAGGACAAAATTTTTTCTAAATAAAGGCAGTATGCAGGCAAATGAATATAAATCAAAGCTGTGTGGTACATAAAATATTATAGTGGAACAGAAGACATGGTTTATCTTACATTGTAGAGATGAGAATGTTATGGCTCACATCTTCATGGAAGGAAAGGAAGTTATTTAGTCTGTGTGAAGGAAATCAGTGAATCTAGTTTACCGTTTAGCAAATTAGTAGGGACTGATCCAATCATCCCCACAGTTCAAGCAACAGAAAGTCATCCCCATGAGCCCCGTGCGGCCCCCCCCCCCCCCCCCGCCCTAAGCACTGCCAAGGTGGCTGGCTGTCCTGGCAGCCTTGTTCCTCCTCTGTGGCTGCGAGCAGATCACCTGTGAGAGGCAGATCACCGTGTGAGTTTTGCTTTCAGTTAAAGAGTTGTTTTGTTGACCAACAGTAGTACCACCTTTATCCCATGTTTCAGAATTGCTGTAAACCTATGGAGAGAAATGATTTGGCAAGAGGTTACTGTAACCCGGTGAGGCTCCCAAAGCTCCTTGGACATCATCTATTTATTGTCACTTAATATCCCATGAAAACATTACAGCATGGAACACCTGCAGACCGCCAGCAGCCTCTCATCTATTTTACAGAAGACAAATTAGGTAGCATTCCAAGCCAAGAGCCGAGACCAGATCCACAGCGAGGGAAGGCGGCGGCATCGCCCTCTGCCGCTGCTGTGACGGTGCCTGTGAGCCGAGTAGCCACCTGCCGCCGTCCCCACAGCCCACGGCATGTCCACCTGATTTGGACAGGAAGTGACAGAAAAATGGCTCCTGCAACCCAGCTTCCTGGTTATTCCATGCCCTGGCGCGGGTAGATTTTGAGTAATTAAAAATCTAAACAAAAAAAAGACTTTTTGTCTAATAATATTTGTCTAACATAAATATCTGGACCTCTTCAGGATCTGTAAGAAGTATTTGTTTAGAATTAGGGTTTCCCACACACCAGCACATAGGGATAGAACAATACAGGAAGACTGATCTGTATTTTTCCCTTCATTTGTTAGTTGTAAAAAATTTTAAATAGGAAATTTAAAAAATAGAAAATATTCCTTCTGCTTCTCTGGGGAGAATTCTTGCTGGGCTAAGGTATAGCCCACATGCTCTAGTGCGTGTGGGATTGAGATACGAACGATGACCCATCAAACTTAAGACTGACCACCTCATTCTAATGTATGTCGTGTGATTTATTTTTAAAGCAAGATGGAAAGTTGCCTTTTGTTCCTCTGGAAGAAGAATTCATCATGGGAGTTTCCAAGTATGGTATAAAAGTGTCAACATCAGACCAATATGTAAGTAGTAACATGCATTAAGGAAAATGTTTTAGGAAATGGGGAATTCAGGCTCCCTGATAGCTAGGTCTGTTTTCAAAGTGGTTGTCTGGCAGCTGCTCGAATTTCTTAGGACATACCGGGGCTTCCTTTTGTGTCTGTGTACACCCAGCCTGTCTCCAGTTCCCAGTGCATCCTGTGTGCTCTAGGGTATCCTGTGTGCACACGGCCCCCATCCCGGGCTCTCAGTGCATCTTCACATCAAGCAAAAGTAGCAGTTTTCCTGGACGCCAGGCAGAGATGGAGATAGTTTAGATCCTGTTTCTGTCGTCTTTCTGGCGTTTAAAAGATGGCATGACCCCAAAACAAAATTGGCCCCCACTCAACTTGCTGAAGTGTCTCGTGTACATGTACGTTTCTGCCAGATTCCCGCACAGGCTGTTTGAAGTCACATAATACAACTGCATGGGGAAATATGTGTTGTGGAAACTGAGATGCAGCCTGAGTGGGGCCTTCTCCCTTCTGCAGGACGTCCTGCACAGGCATGCCCTGTACCTAATCATCCGGATGGTGTGCTACGATGATGGCCTGGGCGCCGGCAAATGCCTGCTTGCTCTGAAGACCACCGATGCAAGCAACCAAGAGTACAGCCTGTGGGTTTATCAGTGCAGCAGCCTGGTGAGGTTTTACCTTATTTACTTGGTTCCTTGCTCACCAATGGAAGTGGAAATTTGTCCCCTTTTCAAGGGCTAAGCAAATGCTCCTTAGGTGCCTAACACCTGGCCTCAAAATGGATGGGCACATGGGGTGGAGCCCACAGGCTCACAGCAAGCTATGAAGCCCTGGGGTTGGGCTGAGGTAAACACAAAGAAGATAAGGCAGTGTCCGCCGTGGCCAGGGACTCCCTTCATCCTTGGCTTGTCCTCTGCCGCAGGCCTCAGTATACCTTCCAGGGAGCTCCCAGACAGGGCAGCTGTTAGAATCTAGGTTGGTGAGGGAGATGTCACGAGGGCTGGAGACAGACGAAACTCTGCTCTCGCTGGGTCTTTTTACATCATGCAGGAACAAGCTCAGGCCATCTGCAGGATGCTCTCCACGGCTTTCGACTCCGTGCTAACCTCTGAGAAGTCCTGAACTCTGCGTCCAGGGGAAAACAACTTCATCGAAGGCCAGCTAATTTATATGTCACCTGCTCTCTGTCTGGCTGCTGAACTGCTATGGGAGTAGGAAGTGATATTCTAATTCCATGTTCTGAAATCTTCATCGTGTTTTACATTAAAATGTGTCAGATTAGACAGCAAACTTTCAATAAACGGCGCACTTTCCAGGATGAGAGGAAACTACAAACACACTTATTATGGAAGCAAGTGCCATAGGCATTCACTGAATAGAACATCGAGGACAGAAGCCTCCCATGTGACCTCTACTGACAATGTCATTGGCTTGGAACTGAGGGCAGGCAGGTTTGGACTGGAGACCCCAGTTTCTGCCACTTGGAACTGTGATGCTGTCCCTTAAGATACTACAAAATACCTTTTCAGAATTGTGTTGTCAGTGTAACATGCCAGTGTGGCTGGGCGCTGGTGGCTCACGTCTATAATCCTAGCTACTCAGGAAGCTGAGATCTGAGGATCACTGTTCAAAGCCAGCACACTGGGAAAGTCTATGAGATTCTTATCTCCAATTAACCACTAGAAAACTAGAAGTGGTGCTGTGGCTCAAAGTGGTAGAGCGCTAGCCTTGATCAGAAGAGCTTAGGAATAGCGCTCAGGCACTGAGTTCAACCCCCACCACTGACACGACAAAACAACACAGTGTTTATGTTAGAGATAAGATCACTGCTCATGCTTAAAGTATTTGAAGGATCCAATGGCTAGTATGCTAGTGTACTTTTTTATTTTTGGCAAAAAGGGACTGTAATATCTTATACTTAAAGGATAAAAAATAAAAACAAAACTATGCCCATTTAAAAGTACTTTATTTTTTTTCCAGTCAAATGACTAGTTAACAAGAGTAAGCTTATTAAACATGCTCTAATTATAAATCACTGCATTAAGGACAATGAAAATAAGAATCAATTTAGGTTATACAATATATACAGTTGCGCTGCGATATACCAAAGTGATCAGGTGAATGAACTGAATATCGTACATCTCAAAATAGCATTCTAGGCTGCAGCCTGTTCTCCACCCTCAACCCGTCGCGCAGGGGCACAGACCGAACTGCTCTGCACACCCTCTTCTGAGTTGTCATCCCTCCAGAACCCAGCAGCTGAAGGTCAGGAAATGTAAACCTTAAATATAAATAGATATCTACAATGTTTTTCTTTCTCTCAGTGGCTTTTTTTTTCCTTTCAATTTGCAAAGAACAAATAACTAGGAAAGGATATTAGCAGGAAGTTAACATTAACAGGGTTTCTCTTCTGGCAAGAGTACTATTAATGACTGCACAATAGCACCACCCAATTGTAGACTGGAAAAATATTTCCTAGGTATTTATGTACCAGTGAACCTGATAAGTTAGTTGGGACTGACGTTCAAATGTGGTTGTGAACCAACTCGATCAAGATGATAAGAACCGGATGCAGGTAGGGGGCTGTTACGATAGACTGGAGAAGTACTGTGCAAAATACATCTTCACACTCCTAAATCTATGAGAAATGGACTAAAGGAAGGGTTCAACCAAGAAATTACATAGTGAAAACACATGTAGTGCTTTAAAAAAAAAAAAAGACTAAGTATAAATCTAACACATGGGAATTGCTGGAAAGCAAAATCAATTGTTAGACATCATAAAACATTCCAGTTTGTTTTGTCATCCATTATCATGGCAGACAAAAATACAATGCTGTAAGAAAAAACCCCAAACTCCACACTTAACAGGAGTTGCACAATAAAGATGAGCTGCTTCAGTCACTACCGTCGTGGTGAGCGCAGTGACAGCATTGTTGCCTTGCTTTCCAAGCCTGTGCTAAAACTGATTCCTTACTTTTGCTCAAAATCCAAGTGGGCATCACATGCCTATTCTGAAAAGAGTGCCAACATTTCCAATATTAACTACTATGAATCTTATGCTCACAATGACTAAATAGTTCATTAAACTAATGAGTTCATTTTATCACGGACGGCCTAGTTCCCACCCCTTCCCCGAGTAGCATAAGTTTAAGTGATAAGGCCGGGATGTTTAGGGGTATAGCATTACTGAGGAGCTGCAGAGTTCTGAATACAGATTTCTTGAATACAAACAGATGGACACTGAGTTTCAAGACGGTGTGACTACCATTCCTGTGGGCATGTGATATAAGTACTAGACACTAAGCTGAACGAATGTCTGCGGGAGCTAGCAAGGGAAGGCGGCGGTGCACGCACCGGGAGCAGCAGGAAATGTGCCACCGCATCCTGGCCTGGCCACAGTCCTCTACTGCTGCTCACCGCTCTAGATGACAGGGAGTTGGGGAAGGCAGACTCTGAAACACCTGAAGCATATGAACCCTAGAACTGTTTTGCAATCCATCATCCTTAGTTTTTTTTTAACCAAATTCAGGAAATGCAGTTTGCTACAATGTCTCGGGAGGAATGAATGATTGCCATATGCTGCAGTAAGTCACTGTTTGGTTAGGGCTGATTTTTTTTCACAACAGGTTACACACATGCAGGAGGTCATGAAGCTGCACCTCACAGGGTAGGGCTAGAAAGTACAAGGCGAATGTGTAAGTTTGCAAGTTGCTTTAAACAGACACTGAGTGGGTTTCGCGGGAATACGGGTCTTTAAAGGTGAACTGATGGCATCTGATGAAGGCAGCTGGGCGGGAGGAGGCAGGGCGCTGTGAAGCCGCAGTTTACTCGCTGTCAAAGAGCTGCCCTAAAGACCACTACCTCCAGAATCAGGCTAAGGAAAGCAGGAAGTGATTCCATTTTTCTTCATTTAGTTTTAGTTCTAGCAAGATCTTGGTTGTGTAGTTCAAAAAAAAAAAAAAAAACTTCAGTTCACCTTTAAAGAAATTCAGCTTTTTCTAATAAAAGTGTAGCAATGTTTCATGAAAACTACAAATTATAGAAACAATTCACTTATATATAAAAACTACCTTTGAGTTTTTAAAACAGAACAGTGGTGTGGTGTGAAAAGAACGGGGCTTGCGTACAGTCCAATCCGTGGAACTGGTTATCTGGGAGAGTTTTGGTACCAATAACGGAACAGGGACATAATGGCTAAAGAAAGGCTCTTTGTTCAGTAGCGATTCAGTCAGCAATAAAGTGCACAAACGATACCGGAAACGCTCCTCTGCGACCCGGGTCCCCATCGATGTGGCCGATCTGAAAGGAACAAGTGCTGGTGGTTAGAAAAATTACACATTTGAAACGAAGGCCATTTCTGAATTAAAGGAGACTTGCACCAGGAGTTCTTTTGCCAAACAACAGCTAGGTAAAACAACCAGGCCATTCCTTCCTTCTTGCTCTCTGGTGTTTGCCAAACTACACGATGCACGAGGAGGCGAAGAGAGCCCAGCACACCTGCTCCTCTGCTGCCTGGTGGCGGGGGTTGGAGTTGGGGAGAGGGGAGGTCACAGTAGCAAAAGCCCCAGGAGCTATGACTCCTACAAGTCAGTGCTAGGTAAGACTGCTGGAGAAGGGAAAGCTGGCCCACGGACGCTTGCATCGGCAGGAAGGACGATGAACCAGCCGTGCCAACAGCTCTGCAGCCACATCCCAAGAATGAAACACAGTGGGAGTTTTGCTGGGAACAGAGGTTACACAGGGCCCAAACTACTTGTGCCTATCAAAGCCAAGTTGGCTCGGAGTCTCCCTAATTTCTCTCCCCCATCCCCCAGTTCCATGAGAGGCACCTAAGCTCCCTCTGTGGAGCAAGGCTAACTGTCCAGTAGGTGGCAGACTCGGCAGAGTGCTCAGTCCTGCGCTGACTCTTCCGCGCTTTCCATGTCATCTCACCACTGCACTGTGAGCAACCAAGTCCCACAGTTCCCGGCCCGTGAGTGCTGAGGCTCAACAGCTAGGACCCCCAGGGGGAGGGGGAGGAGGAAGCAGGTGCCTGTGCTGCTCCCGTGGACAGAGCAGGCCCTAGCTCATTCAGGACCAAACTGGGTGGGTTTTGCCTACCCCCGGAGGCCAGATCTCTTTAGATTCCTTGCCGCGCTCATGCGGCAGTGAGGTCTTTACCTAGAAACTCAAGGCCTCAGAATGCCAGGGTCTCACTTGAGATCCTCCAGTGTACTCTGGAAACAGCAGCCTGGGAGACTTGCCCAACAAAATAGGGAGGGGCTGCCCAGGGGTGCAGAGGTGTGGGTCCTGCTGAGGACAGGGCAGCCAGGGGCCTGAGGCCTCACGGCCACCCCAAAACTGGACTGTTCATGCTGAGCCTCATCAGTGTCTGGGAGTTCCAGGCGGGCAGGTGCAGCTCAGCCCTGAGCCCCTTCCAGACCCCAATCTGACTCACCCACCACTCCTGGTCCTCCTCCCCGTCCACCACGATCACATCTCCCTCAGAGAAGGTCAGCTCGTCCGGGTTGTCAGCCACACAGTTGTAGAGTGCTTTCACCCGCTTGGGCTTTGACTTGGTCTGCGTCAGGGAGAGTAAAGGCTAGTGTGGCCGGAGGCTGGAACCAGGACAGACAATGGCCTCCTGCTTCCGCTTGAGCCCAGGACCCCGGGGAGGGGAGCCCACAGGGGTTGTTGCAGCTCTGGTGCCAAGGAAATTACAGGGAGACCCCGGCTGGGGGAGGGCCAAGGAGCAGCTGGAAGTGGAGCAGCTGGAAGTGGAGCAGCTGGAAGTGGAGCAGCTGGAAGTGGAGCAGCTGGAGCCTGGCACTTGTGGGGGTCCAAGTCACAGCAGCGCCAGCACCCGACGCCCAGTCCACCCTCTCCAGGGAAAGAAGGCAGATCGGCTGCCTTCAAGCTTTCTGGGTAGACAGAGCAAGGGACAGGAAAGCCTTATCCACTTACCGCCTGGGACTTCCTGGGCATGGGTGCGGGGGGCTGCAGAGCCATGGCATTGGACAGAGGACCCGGAGCTTCTGTTCCAGAGAGATCCACCGTGTTAGGGCCAAAACGAAGCCTTACAAGACACCCCATCAGTCGTAACCACAAGAGGTAAACTGACTACCAGGGCCCGAGGGTCATGTCTGAAAGCAGATTTCTCCAGAAGTTCTGATGTGATAAGGGAAAAGTCCCTGTAAGTCAGAGAACTTTCTGCAAGGCAGGATGAAAGTCGGAGCACAGGAAAGGGGAACCGCAGCCTTGAACTGTGGGGAGCAGAGTATCAGGCCTGAGGGGGAGGGAGAACTGAACATGGAGGATGGGGGACGGGAGCTGGAGTTGGAGGCTGGATGGGAGGGGGAGCTGGAGATGCAGGGTGGAGAGCTGGAGGGTAGTTGGGAGGGGGAGCTGGAGTTGGATGGGGGGTGAGGGAGTTGGAGGGCGGACAGGCCCTATGTAGAGCTGACCACCTGCCAAGAAATGTTCCCCTGGGACCCAGCAGAATCAAGCCCAGTCCCAAATGGCATCATTACCAGGTCCTCTTGGCTGGCCTTTGTTGAGCAATGGGGTTGGCTTCTCAGCCCTATAGGAAGGAAAAACAGACTTACTGATACCTGAGGCTGTCTCTCCCAACCTCTTCTCTCTGAGCAGCTGTATTCAAACCGCAAGTGCATCAGTGATTTCATCAACTCTCATCCCACTATTTTTTTTTTTTTTTTTGGTCCGGGCCTGGGCACTGTCCCTCGGCTCTTCAGCTCAAGACTAGTGCTCTACCACTTGAGCCACAGCGCCACTTCCGGCTTTTTCTGCTTATGTGGTGCTGAGGATTCCAACCCAGGGCCTTATGCATGCAAGGCAAGTGCTCTACCACTGAGCCACCTTCCCAGCCCCATGCTAAATATTTTTAAATAATTTCATTATGTTTCATTTATCTGGAAATACACATTATTCTATTCGCGTGCCTGTGTGCACATGTGCATGTGTCTGCCGGTCCTGGGGCTTGAACTCAGGCACTCAGTCCCTAAGCTTTGTTGCTTAAAGGCTAAAGCTCTACCACTTGAGGCACAGGTCCACTTCTGGCTCTTTTTGAGTGCTTAATTGGAGATAAGTCTCATAACTTTCCCACTCAGGCTGGTTTCAAACAGAGATCCTCAGATCTCAGCCTCCTGAGTAGCTAGAATTACAGGTGTGAGCCACCGGCACCTGGGCATCATGCTATTCTTTTTTTTTTTTTCTTTTGGGTCCGGTCGTGGGGCCTGAACTCTGGGCCTGGGCGCTGTCCCTCAGCTCTTCAGCTCAAGGCTAGCGCTCTACCACTTGAGCCACAGCGCCGCTTCCGGCTTTTTTCTTTTTGTTTATGTGGTGCTGAAGAATCGAACCCAGGGCCTCATGCATGCAAGGCAAGCGCTCTACCACTGAGCCACCTTCCCAGCTCCTCATGCTATTCTTTTCTTCAATATAAACAAAAAATTTTATACATTCACTATATGCCAAACAAAACAAAACAAAACAAAACAAAAAAAAAAAACCTGGCTATGTGCCAATGGAAGCCGTGTGAATCACCACAGCTAGTTTGCTCCTGTTGTTCACCACAGTCAAGAAGTTTCTGCTCCCTAGTTTTTTGTACTAGTATGTATTAGTTGTACAAGGGGGTTTTATTGTAGTATTTACACACACACACACACATACACACACACACATGTATCCTGTTCAACCTCCCCTTTCACTCTGCCCCATCCTTCTCCCTTTTTAAAACAATTTTTTTTTCTTTTTGGTCATGGGGCTTGAACTCTAGCTTAAGTGCTGTCCTTGTGCTCTTTAGCTCAGGGCAAGTGCTCTACTGCTTGAGCCAGAGCGTCATTTCTGGTTTTCTAGTGGTTTACAGGAGATAAGAGTCTCACGGACTTTCCTGCCCAGGCTGGCTTTGAACTGCGATCCTCAGATCTCAGTCTCCTGAGTAGCTAGGATTACAGGTGTGAGCCACCAGCACTGTTCTATCTTTATACACGCAAATAAACTACTTCAACCATTTTCATACTCATTTCCCCACTGTGTGAGAGTTTTGGGTTTTTTTTTTCCAAATAAAGGCCAGAGGGAAGTATCACCACCAAGTTCCTGACCCTACACCCAGGCCTCCACCACAGCACCTCTGTCTGCATGGGCTTGGGCTCGGGGCTGGGTATTAGCCAGCCTGGCTTGGGCCTTAGACCTCTGTGAAAGGAACCGTTGAACCTTAAACTCAGGCCTGGTGCTTCTGCAGGAACAGAGGGTGTCGGCTGTCAAGAGCGATGTACCTGGCACGCTCTTCTTAGCCTCCTCCCTGTTCCCAGAAGAAACCAGAAGGCTGGCTGGATGAACTCATCTCTCTAGAGAAGGTCATTAGTTTTAATCTTACTGAAAGGTGAGTGAGGACACAGCAGGCAATGTGAGAATATGTCCTAGACCCATTCTGGCCTGTCATGGGACTTGAACTCAGGGTCTGGGTGCTGTCTCTGAGTTACTTTGCTCAAGGGTAGCACTCTATACATGAGCTACAGCTCCATTCCTGGCTTTTTGGTGGTTCATTGGAGATAAGAGTCTCAAGGACTTTCCTGCTTGGGCTGGCTTCGCACCGTGATCCTCAGATCCTAGCCTTTGGACAAACTAAGAATCATTTGCCACCAGTCCAGGGCTGGAGTTTCATTCTGGAAGAAAGACATAATGTGTCCTCTTCATAAAGGAAATTTTAGCATGGTATAAATTTGGATTTTCATATCAGTTCTCTTAAAAGAGAGTAAAATATAGCCTACAGTCTCCACTCTCCTTTCCAGTTTGGTCCAAGCTAACAGTAATTTTTTTTTTTTTGGTCGGTTGTGGGGCTTGAACTCTGGGCCTAGGTGCTGTCCCTCAGCTCTTCGCAGCTCAAGGCAAGCTCTCTATCACTTGAGCCACAGCACCACTTCTGGTTTTTCTAATGGTTTATTGTAGATTAGAGTCTCACGGACTTTCCTGCCCTGGTTGGCTTTGAAGCGCGATCCTCAGATCTCACCCTCCTGAGTAGCTAGGATTACAGGTGTGAGCCACTGGCGCTGGCACTAACAGTAATTCTGGTACTTGAAAATTAAGTTGGGAAAAAAATGAAAAGGATAGTACATGGCACATGAGAATTCAGTGTTCACAGTGTAATTTTGTCAGAACACAGCATACTCCTGTGCATTCCTCCTATTTCTGTGTTTCTAGTTCCTGGCTTTGGATAGGGGAAGCGCAGAGCTCAGCTTGGGTCAGCCATGTCACTTCCCAGCGGCCAGAACCACCAAGCACTGAGGCATGTGGGGGGAGGGGAAGGCCCGCACATGCCCTGGCCCTGCAAGAACCACTGGGGTACATGCATGCACAGTCCTGGGAGAAAGTGAGTGGGTGCATGCACTGGTTTGGACAGAATCACCGGGGATTCATGCACCTGAGAGATGCCTCAGGTCAGAGTTTAAGGTTCAGCCCCTCCTTCCACAGGAGGACTAAGACCCAAGTCAAGGCCAAACAGGGAATGGAGCCAGTGGTTGATGCCAGCTTCTCCCCTAGCACCTACATGGACAGAAGTGCTTTGAAGAATTGGGACTTCTTTGTTTTTGCTGGGGCTTGAATTCAGGACCCCCAGCTTGCTCTTGTTTGGCTTTCTTGGCTTTATCCATGCCTCTTACCTGGCTTTTACTGGTTGTTTTGGAGAAGGGTGTCCTGTGTACTTTACTGTCTTGGCTAGCTTTGAACTGAGATGTTCTAGATCTCAACTTCCTGAGTGACCAGGTTTACAGGCATAAGCTGCCAGTGACCAGCAGCAAAGTCCTGGCTTAAGCACTTCTTTCTAGTCATTCATTATTTTGGTTTTTTTAAAAAAGGACTTCCAGGATTCTGATCTTTAGAAAGGAAGCAACAAATACAGGAAAGCAGAAAATGAGAATAAGCATTGTTCCTTGTCTTTGCCTAGCAAATGAGGAGGGCCCTGAGTTCAACTGCCAATACTGTCAAAGAAAACAACAATAAAGAAACTGAAAGATAAAAAAGAAACATAAATACACATATTCACATGTACTATGGATGTGTATGTACACATATACATGGGAATGTAGGTATGCATGCACTTCCCTCCTGCTGGGAATGGTGGCACTCTGCTTGGTACCATATCTTAACTTCTTAGTAACATTCCCACAAACAAAACGACTTTCCACTATAAAAAATCTGAATTAAAACCAATGAATTGGAACAAAGGAAGTTACTGGACACATGGAGAGAGCTGAAATGGGTGTGAGTCTGGGTGGTAATTGCATACGCCCGAGAGTCACTGCGTCTGTGGGGCGCAGCGCGTGTGCAAAGGACACTCTGATCTGCAGGTAACACACGCCTCCCTGCGCAGGGCCCGAGTTCCAGGTTTCCTTCCCGTGAGACACAGACAGAACATAGTAAAGGGCCTCATGTCTTAAGGACTTAAAAAAAAAAAAAACCCAGTGTACGCACTAAACAAAAATCTAAACTTGTTATGTGATTTCACACATACATATGTAAGAAATTTCCAGAAATTCCTTAAGCCAGGCACCAGTGGCTCACATCTGTCATCCTAGCTTCTCAGGAGACTGAGATCTTGAAGTCGGTGTGGCAGGAAAGATCATGACTCCTATCTCTAATTAATTGCCAAAAAGCTGTAAGTGGAGCTGTGGCTCAAGTGGGAGAGCACCAGTCTTGAGTGAGGGACCGCATCTGAGCCCTGAGTTCCAGCCCCACACCAGCATGCACACAACAACAACAACAACAACAAAACATGGTAAGAGAAAAACCTGGAAGAATCGTTTTCTTTTAAAGTGCCAGTGCTGGGGCCTGAAGTCAGAGCGTGGGCACTGTCCTTGAGGCTTTGTGTTCAAGGCTAGCACTCTTCCACTTGAGCCACGGCTCTACTTTTGGCTTTTTGTTGGTTATTTAGAGATAAAGAGTGTCATGGACTTTCCTGCCTGGGCTGGCTTTGAACCTTGATCCTCAGTATTCAGCCTCCTAAACACCTATAGTGTTACGGGTGTGAGCCACCGGTGCCTGCTTGAAGAATCCATTTTAAGACCCCTGAGAACTAATGGATAAGTTATACAGCACTGGCCTCCCACACTACCATAGCAGAAGCCCAGCGGGAGTCTCAGTGGTAAAGCAAGGGGCCACTGTTGCTTGGAGCCTCCTGAAAGCAAGTTGTAGGACAGTGGCCGGTGCTGGGAAGGGGCTGCGCTTACCCTGGTGCAGGCTTCTTCTGCGGCAGGCGGCTGGGCGGCTGGGGTGGCAGGGGCGGGGGCTTGCTCTGCACAGCCCCAGGCTGGGTAGGCTTGCTTGGCTGGCTCAAGGCTTCTAGCACCCCAGGTGTCTTGGCCACAGGAGGGGGTGGTGTAGAGGATAAGGGATCTGCAGAGAGAGGAGAGGAACACAGGATGAGCCTCCCTCCTGCACCCCACGCTCAGCCTTCGCAGCACGGAGCCTTGGCCCACAAGGACTCCTTTCTAGCACTCCTCCTGAGCAACACCTGCTGCCGTTTCTGGGCTCACCTGGGAAACTGAAGGGGAAGGCAGGAGCTCCTGTCTCACCCCATCAGGAAGCTCGAGCCTCAACTACAAAGTTCTGCACCCTGTCTATGCTCAGCCAGCATCCAGATGGGCAGGCCCAGTGGGAGGCTGGCACCATCTTCAGCTCTTGGCTCTGAGAGTCAGCAGAGAAATCTGGGGGCTGGTGCCAGGCTTAAACTCTGCCCTGGGGAGCTGAGCCTTCTGGAGCCAGGATTCTTTCAGCCTGAGGTGTACTCCATTTGAGCAGGTGGCTGAGAACAGCCAGACCGTGACGATGACTTACACTGGGTGTCCAGTCTGAGGCGGGCACAGGTAAGGGTTTACTATTATCTGTACTTTATCCACCACAGGCTAAGACTCAGAGGCAAACTGATCTTGACTGGTGGGCAGACGTGGTTAAAGAAAAAAAAAAAAAATAGAGCTAAGTCCCGGGGTGAGCTTCCTCTGCTGCCTTCCTCCTCTGTGGCCAACAGCAGAGCGCCAGGTGCTCCTCACAGGTGGAAGGTGGCCTGCCAAGGTGGGCACTGAGGCCCAGGCCCCACCAGGGGAGAGAAGTCTTTAGTGTCCAAAAAGGGACCACAGGGTGGGACAAATGAAGAGACTGAGCATATAGTCTTTCCTTTCCCATTTTAAAGGAAGAGTCAAATGGCGGACTACCCCACAGAGGTCATCCGGGGAGTGCCAGGGCGAGAGGCAGGGAAGGGGACAGGCTGCCGGCCCTCGGAAGGTCCCAAGAGCCTCGTGATGCGGGAGCCTGGCTCGCCAGCACTACAGGCTTTTGTCTCCTCGGGTTCAAGGAGAGGGCGTCATCCTCCGGAAGCAGGACTCCAGGGATGCTGGGCGCGGGCAGAGCAGGACGCAGGCAGGGAGGGGGCCAGCACGCTTCTCACTGACCCAGTAAAAGGTACTCAGCTCTGCTGCAAGACCAAGGCTTCTCCCAGGCTTTCGAGGACATGCTGGCACTGAGAAAAACCTGCCAGGGAGAATCATCTCCTGGCTAAAGGAAATGGAAGCTCTGGGTTGGTGGGCAATGGAGGATAAATACTGCTCACACGCTTTGTAAGAGATTAGAGTGAGCCACTGGGGAATACCGAGGGTTCTACAGGAGCTTGCAGGGGAGTTGGGAGGGTTGGAGGCCACGGAGGCCACCGGTGTACCGTTGGGCATCTGTACACCTGCATAGGTATGCAGCCTGGCAGCTGTCTCCCCAGGTGGCTGCCAACAGCGCCCCCTGCCTTCCAGATCTACACGGCCCACTGGCAAGAAAGGAAAAGGTAAAAAACGTACTGGTAGATGTCACACGAAGAGGGGGCAGCGGTGGGTGGACAGCTGGCGGATCTGACGAAGATCGCTGCCTGCTTACAGCGCCCACACCTACAGAGTTTGTCTTCCACAAGGTGTTAGCTGAGGAGGAGGCTGTCTGAACTAAACCCACACGCACGCACACACGCAAACACACGCATGCACACACACGCACGCACACACACAGAACAAAAACAGAAACAAAACACTGCGTTATTGATCCTCTCGCTTACAAGAAGGCCAATATGACCCTTCTAGAACAGCAAATAGAACCCTTTTGTCTCACGTTATCTGGAAGGCAGACACTGATAACACACTAAACCAAAGATGCCACTGAGAACCTTCTCGCTGGCCTTTTCAATTTAATGGTAAACATTTTAGATTCCTGATCTTGTTTCTCAAACTCACTATTCGAAAAGAGGAATAAATCACAACAGGTGTTCGCCCTGAGCACCGTGTTTGGGGCCCATGCAACTCGCGCTCACCTTACCCGCCCAGAGCATACTTCTAGGGGATCACGTGGAAGGCGCCCAGGTGTCCCCAACGGAGGTCCCTGGGGGGGAGGGACCAGGCACAAGGAGACTTGTGCTCTCTTGACTGCCTCCCAACATTTCTGGGAGGTTGGCACGGATGACCCAGCAGGTTCATGGCCCTTAAACGAGATGAGACTTCCCTGGCCACAGTCCTTCCTCTGCCACACGAAGCCCTGAGCTTTCTCACTCAGTGTGCTCTACACGCAGATGCACAGCTGTGACCCAGTTCCACAGCTGTGCACAGGGGCAGGTGGGGGACAGGGCGAGCTGGTGTGCAAACAGGCCACACCCACCCAGGCCAGGCACTGGTCAGGAGAGAGCCTGTGCACCCCCTCCTGGGTGAGCATGAGATACACTGTCACCTTGTCTACCCAGCTCCACACCAAGTCTGGACTTGGTGTGGGGGACACAGAAGGAGGGCAGGGGTGCAATCTACTTCATCTCAAGAAGAAGTAACGCTAAGCCGGGCACTGGTGGTACATGCCTGTAATCCTAGCTACACACGAGGCTGAGATCTGAGAATTGCAGTTCAAAGCCAGCCCATGCAGGAAAGTCTGTGAGACTCTTATCTCCAATAAGCTAGTCAGAAAAAGTCAGAAGTGGTGCTGTGGCTCAAGTAGTAGAGCACCATCCTTGAGTAAAAAGCAGCCTAGGCCCAGAGTTCCAACCCCAGGACCGGTAAAAAGAAAAAGGAAAAACAAAAAGAAAGAAAGCTAAAGAGAAGAATGGCAAAAAGAATAAGAAACTGCAGACTCTTAATTCCAGGAAGTCAAGGCGAAGAGCTTCTGTTCCCTCTTAAACAATCCAAATGCAAAACCAAGTCTCTCCTCCACAATCGGCCACACAGGGCGCTGCCAAGCACAAGATGCCTGGTCTACTTAACTCAGGCCCTTCACCACTGACACCCATCTCCAGGAGCACGGGGGAAGAGTCAGGGAGAGACCCTCTAGGAACCTGCACTGCCCTGGCCAGCCCGGAGAAGGGGAGTCGCGGACGAGCCTGCCTTCCTTGTGCAGGGTGGCCTCGGCAGGCCCAGGCACGGAGCGGAGGGTACGGACAGGGCTTGGCGCCTGCTCTGTGTGTGCTCTTGAGGCTGCTGGTGCAGTGCCCCGCAGGGCAGGGTGGTCATGACTCCCCTGGGCCCAAGTACTTGGGCGGAACCTTGAAATAGCCAGGCAGCAGGGCAGGGACTTGGGCAATGCGAGAGCACACAGCCGCTCACCCTCCAGCTGCAATTCCAGCCAAGACCTCGCTCCCCTTCCCAAATTTCAGAGGCAGCCTGAGAACCGTTCGTGCTGAGACTTCTACACCATCAGCAGCTCACAACAGCCATGGCGCTGGGGCCCAGCTCTGCAGTGGCCCCCACAAAGCCTGAGCACCCCCCTCCTTGCCCCAGGGAGTCCCAAGGACCACCGCTTAGAACCCAGCGGGTCACTGCGGGCCTGGTTTCAGGAGGCTCCGTGGCCAGCTGAGCTTCACTACTGGATCAACTACTTAACTTGTCCATGTCTGTAAAACATTTCTGTATCTGTAACAACGACAACAACAAAATCCCTGCTGAACTTGAACCGTTTGGACAGAACAACCAAGTACAGCCAGCTTTCTGAATTGAAAAGCATCAGAAAGGCCCGCAGGACAATTTTGCTTTTCACAGTGAAGCTGAGCACTGCTCTTGGAACGAGTATCTCTTTCTTCTTAATTTCACCTGGATCAAGAGATATGAAGTAGCTGCAGATTCCACAGCAGCCCCAGACGCAGCAGGAGAAAAGAGAACAGGAGAAATCAAGACATGAGGAGGATAGCAAGTCAGAAAGGTAGGGAGACTGAGACCCTGCTGCTCCAAACCACATGCTGCCCTGGCTTGCGGGTGTAGCTCTGCGCGAACGAGACCACAACCTCTGCCACAGAAGAATGCACCAACATCTCCACCACTATGTTGGCATCGTAAGAATAAAGGATTCCTGTACGAAGAAATGGATCCCATACACAAACAAAGTAACTACAAGATAAATAACCTAAATGTCACCTAGTTTGGGGTGAAGCTGCTATAACCCCCCCACCCCAAAAGCTCACAACCAATCCTTCCACCTGTTCACAGGGGACCGCTAAGTTGCATACCTTTGCCGAGGTTCCTGGGTGGGAGTGGGGGGGCGCTGGTGGTGCTGGGGGCGGTGGGCTGGGATGGAGGCGGGCTGCTGCTGAGGATGGCCCCGTAGGTCTCATTCTGCAGGATGCTGGGCACAAAGCCCCTCGGCTTGTCCTTGGCAAGGTTTGCGGCATCTCTGGCCAAAGACGCAGCACTGGGCTGAAGCTGGCTGGACCCCAGCTGGTAGAAGCTCACCGGCCGGTCCTCCCGCCGATTGGGACTTGGCTAAAAGAAAGTGGAGCAAAGTTGTGAGATGGAGATATGGCTTCTGGCTGTGAAAAACAGTCACCGTGCAACACTCAGACACACATCTTATCACACGCACACCTCATGTGTGCCACTTCTGCTCAGCCTGGGCTCGTTTAGACTCTTAATCGGGACTTAAACTGCTGCATGAGAGCCACAGATTTACACACATACACACACACAGAGAAAGCCTGGACATACAACTGTCCACTCAGGATTTCAGAGAGAATCCATTCCATCTCAATAGCCAGAGTTCTCCTCACTTACCTGTGCTCTGTCCCCAAGACCTCCTTCCCAAACACACTGCCTTGTGTTTCAGGTTTTAGGTACAGGCGGCTCTATCCCGCTAGCCACACACAACCTCCAACTTTCTCAGGGCACATCAATGTTTCCTCCCGCCTTCCCATGAACTCTAGAGCTTCCTCTAACCCGGGAGACAGCAAATCCTGGCCTCTGGGCCCCCACAGCCTCCATAACGAGGGTTTCAAGGAGCCACAGCCTGCCCATCATTTCATACTGTCTGTGGCTGCTTTTGAGCCATTCTGGGTGAGTAACTGTAATAAAAACAGAAGTTTGCTAGGCACAGTGGCTCACGCCTGCAATCCTAGCTATTCAGAAGGCTGAGATCTGAGGATTGTGGTTCGAAGCAGCCTGAGTAGACTCTTATTTCCAATTAACCACCAGAAAACAGAAGTGCTGCTGTGGCTCAAAGAGTGAGAAAGCTCAGGGACAATGCCAAGGCCCTGTGTTCAAGCCCCATGACCCAAACAACAAAAACAACAACAATTCAACTAAACAAAAAAACAAACCCTGGAATTTCAGGGCTGCGGGTGTGGATTAAGTGGTAGAGTACTTGCCTAGCCAGCATGAGGTCCTGAGTTCAATCCCCAATACCACAATAAACAAATACCCCAAAAAGTTACACTTAGAATCTAAAACATTTACTACCTGGCCCTTTAAGAGAATGCTCACCCCAGCTCTACCAAAAGGTTGTGCGCCTCACTGGAAAGTGATGCACAGAGCCACAACGCAGGTAACTCAGATCCCATTCCCATTTGAAACATCAGCTTCAGAGTATGAACTACGAGCTGGACGCCAATTGACTTAACCTTGCTGACCTCACCTCCATTATGCTACATGGGCTTCCCTTCCCCTGCTTCTCCTCTCCTGAGGTGTCAAAGGCCTTCACTTTCACTCAGGGCAAAGGCCGGCAGTGCCTATGACTACTACATAGTAGCCGTTCCTCACAAGAGCTGGAGGCAGCAGGGAACACGGGGCACAGATGAACCCCAAACCTACTGAGGTCAATGAACACACAAAGTCCCCTGACTGCCTTTTCTATAAAACAGCTTCTGCCTTCCTTGCAGGCTGGGACTCAGCTTGCTCCAAACAAAGCTCAGCAAACTGCTTCTTCCTGGAGGACCCCTGCACACACCTGCAATTTCTCGTCCACATCATCATCGCTCTCGTCCAGGTCCTCGTGAAGGAGTCGCCATTCGTATTCGACATGCACGTGAGAATTAAACCTTCCGGACAAGGCTTGGGTCAGCTGTGGGGAGGAACAGTCACGGCTGCTACCCATGTAGTTAGTCATCCAGGTGGGGCGGGTACCCACAGGGAGTCCAGACCCACAGAGGCCTGAGGCCAGGGAGGAGGGTCCGGCAAGAAGGCAATTCTGTCCAAGGCAAGCTCATTTGAATCCTTGGGTCTTGGGGAAGCCCTCCTGCCGAGTCACTCCCAGGACAACCTGACATTCAGACCCATAAAGCCAGCAAGTGCTTTGTAAACTGTAAAGAACTGTGCACAGGCAAGGGGGATTTGGGACCCAGAGGGCGGCCACCTGTCCAGAAGCAGTGACTTGTATACTTCACACCTTGGGGGAAGGAATACATTCACTGTTAACTCAGCCTTCTGTGACATTAGCCATAGAAAATAAGAAAGTTAAGCCCTGCAGAAAATGATATGAGTGACTATGTCCTCTATTCACCCAGGAAGTAAATAGCCACTTCCATTCTGAATGTGCAGAAGTTACTTCATTACATTCAGTGTAGAAGGTCACCATACGGTTTTAAGTTCCTTAGAGCCACAAAGTAACTCTACGACGTTGGGGAAGATCCTTCGTCGCCCCTTTCTGTGTCTGCTGACTCATCCGTACAATGGGGACACCACAGAAACTATGTCATGGTCACAAAAACTGAATGAGTTCACAGGAAGTGTCTAGGGTAGTATCTGTTACTTATCCTACACTTGTACAGCATTTATTATTAATAGTTCTATTGACTGGGCCCTCATGTTGGGCCAATTACTTTACAGAGCTCAACAGTAATTCTGGCAACCACCTTTGCAGAGCAATGGAAGTGACTAGATTCACAAGCGAGAACAGCTGGGGGTATGGATGTGCAGTGGGCACAGCATCCTGCGAACCCAGCCCTGCCCACCCAGGAGCTCCTGGAGGCTGATTGCACCATACACACCGTCTCTCTTCACACAGAACAGAAGAGGAAGATGCCAGGAGACCACAGGGTTTCTGGTGAAGGAACAAAATAGGAAGGCCAGCCTGCCATGTGATAAAGAGCCCGCACTCGGGGTGCCTGAGCACAGGAGGTGGCTGGCTGCTCAGCCTCTGTTAGACGTGCAGCACATATAACTCAAGTTCAAATCTCACCACCAGGGGGAGCTCCTGCTCTGCAGACTTCCTGTTCCTTTTCCTCAGGTCAGATGCTTACTTAGCTTGTCCCACCCTGGAGATCTGCTCCTGAGCCAAGGCTGGAGGAAACCCTCCCCCTGGAGGGGGGGGCCTTCACTGCAGCTGTCCAAACAGCAGGGACTCACCAGCTCCTCGCAGTGCTCGTGCCTGAGGCGCTTGGCAATGTCCAGGGGCGTCTCTCCTGACTCATTTGCTAGATGTCGAGAGGAAAGGAGACAAGGCAAAGCCCAGTATTATGGTCTCGCTACGAAATGTCCCTGTGTACCGCAGACTTGGTCCCCTGCAGGTGGCAGTGCTGAGCAGTGACAGCTGATCAGGTGCCAGCAGGACAGGAGGAGGAAGTAGGTTACCGGGTGCGCCATTAAAGGAAAGGGTGTGTCTCCCCTCCCCTCCTCACCCCGCTTCCTGGCTGCCATGAGCGCAGCCTCCTCCTCCTCACGCACCTCCACCATGCCCCTGCCTCACCCCAAGCCCAGAGCAATGGAGCCAGCTGCCCTTGAAGAAACCTCGGAGCCAACACAAATCTTTCTTCCAAGAAGTTGCTTTTCTCAAATATTCTGTCAGTTACAGAACGCCAACCAACCCACCTGGCACGGGTGTGCCAATCTGGCTAAGATACAGTAACACAGTGCTACAAGAAACTGAGCACAATCCATGAAATCCACTTGGTGTGACCAGGGCAGGGCTGCTGGGGTCTTGTGACTGCGCAGGACACGGCTAAGTAGAGAAGCTCTGATTTTAAAAAACGGGCTTTGAGCTGGTTCAGGAAATAAAACTGCTGCAGCAGCAAGTAACTAAAATCAATGTCTAAACTACAGGCTGAGGATAAAGCAGGTGGCCCCAGCTGCTCACCAAGAGCAGGGACCCGGGCCCGTGTACCTGAATGAAATGAACCTTTACGCAGCCTATCCACTTGAAACCTGTCTTTTCTTCTACGTAAGTCTCCTTCAATGAGGGATGATTAACTTAAAAAAAATTTTATGGATTGTAACCCCTCTGTACAGTATGTTCACCAATAAAATAAAATTAAATTAAAAAAAATGTTATGGTTATTATAAGGGCGACAGGGGTTACAGTTACCCAAGTCAGGTAATGAGTAGAGTTCTTTTTGGACAGTGTCATCCCTCACTCATGATTATTAATTTTTAAAAGAAGCACAGCTTTCAGGAAAACGTATGTCTTTTTCTACTCTTTCCCCTTTGAACAACAGTTCTCCCCAAATACTTCCTCGGGAACCAACAGATGCTGGACGCCTGGTCACACTGCCTCACCACAGGTCCTAGGACCTAGGAAGGGACAAAGCCAGGCAAGATCAGGGTCCCTCATGTGTCAATAAGTGGAGGGGCAGGAACAGTTATCTCCCCCAAGTAAGCCATCTAAAACCCAAAGCCAAGGAAGGGCTCAGTGGGATCTCAAGAGTTGGTGAGGTTAACACTCCCAGCATCATCGAGGTTTGCCCTATCAGCTCGGCTCCTCGCCCCGGCCTGGCCTTCCTGAGCAGACAAAGTCTATGCCACAGACAGAGGGCACTGCTTGTCAAACACAGGCTCAGGAGTCCTACAGGACAGGCAGGGAGGGGACCAGGGTGGCCCACGTCCACACTGTGGGTGCGGCCAGGCCACTCACCTATCTCGATGGAAGCTTTTCCCCGCAGGAGCAGCTTCAGGCACTCAGCATTGTCGGTCAGGCAGCAGTAGTGCAGGGCGGTGCTGCCCTTGCCTGTCTGCTTATCCAGATTCCCACTGCCAGCACAGAGACAGAGACAGAAGACACAGTCACAGATCAGAGGGCTAGGTGCTGTCCTAACAGGAAAGGGAATGTGGGCCTGTGCATGAGACAGGCCACCAGCACTGAGAGCCCTGAGTGGAGAGTGCTCTAACTGGTCCCCACCCAGGGTGAGGCAAGCCACCGTCCATCCCTCATGTGGGGCCCCGGCCTGCCTGTGTGGCTGAGCTGCTGCTGAGCGGAGGCTGGGAGGCAGCTGCCCAGGAAAGCCTGGGACTTGGCTTCTTCCCCTTCACCCGCTGTGCGGGACGCTGTGCTCACCGCCCAGCCTGCCCCACCAGAGGACAGGCCACACCTTTTTTCAGTTTTTTTTTTTGTTGTTGTTGTTTTGTTGTCAGTCATGGGGCTTGAACTCTGGGCCTGGGCACTGTCCTTGAGCTCTTCAGCTTGAGGCTAATGCTCTACCACTTGAGCCACAGCACCACTTCTAGTTTTCTGGTGGTTAACTGGAAATGAGTCTCATAGACTTTCGTGCCCGGGCGGGCTTTGAACTGGGATCCTCAGATCTCAGCCTCCTGAGTAGCTAGGATTACAGGCACTTTTTTTTTTTTCAGTTTATTAATTAATGTTTCCACCAGGGAGGGATAAGCCACTTTTCTAGTCTAGAGTCCGGTGGCTGCTTCAAACCTACGGCATGGAATGGTCCGAGTGGGAAGGAGACTTCAAAAGATTCTCATACGTAATAAAGAATAAGCTAGATTACCCCTTCAGAACGCATGCACTCACAGCTGTGAATCGGCCTGGCTTTGCACAGTGCCACTGGCCCTGAGGGACAGAAGGTGTGCTCTAGACAGACAAGCGGATGCAGAAGTGACCACTGTCCCTGCAGGAGACTCTGCCATGGCATGGCGTCAGGAAAAGCACTCCTTTCACGCTTCTAATTTGGGGGGGATTTTTTGGCCTCTATTGCTAAGCTATTCTCCCCAGCACAAGTCAACTTTTCTAGTCCATTCTCTACTGCTATCTCCCTTCTATCCTGGAAGAAAAACACCAGAATTGTCCTTTACTATCTCCCACTCTGAAGAATGTATATGAAGGGGAGGCAGGAATATTTACCAAATGTCCACAGAGCCCTTGTCCCCTATCTAGCGCGGGTCAAGTCTTTTCTGCGGTGCCGAGAAGGGAACCCAGGACTTTTAGCACTGGTAGATGTTAGCCAGCCTCTCTCCAAACCATGATCAGGGAGTCACAATGAGCACGGAGGGTCCTGAAGTCTGGCCTCAGCTCGCCCAGGCAGGGAGCATCTCCAACAACAGGGCGTCCTGGCCTGTGACAGGCTGAGCACACCTCAGAAGGCCTCTTCTGATCAAAGCTTCCTAGCCCAAAGGGCCCATAAGCCAGTGGTCTGGGTTAGTTCTCTGCCCTGGACCAGTGGCTAATAGATGGATCTTTAGTCCCGCCACCCCTCTCCACAGCCTGAGACATCCTGCTGGGAATAAGGGCCCTGGCCCAGGTGGTGCCAAACATGGCCTGCTTTCCCGGCTCAGCAGCGGCTCCGTCACTCCAGAGTCCCACATCCTTGCAAGATACCAACCACACAGAGCCCTGCCCTCCCACTGCTGGGCTTTGGGAGGGCGGTGACGGAACGCCTCCCACCTGGCGGCACGGTTTTTGTCCTGTGATCCATGTATCCCACAAATACGTGAGCATCTTGGCAATCCAATTCATGTAGCAGAGAGTGCCTACCCCCTTCCTCGGAAGTCTCAGGGAGCTAGAATACGTGCCCCCTTCGTTTACACCCACCTGTTCTGAACCAGGAAGTCCACGATGTGAAGCGAAGTGCGGTCCACGGACCTGACAGCAAGGTGGAGAGCCGTCTCGTCCGGCTCCTGGAAAACAAGCCAAGACACTGAAGAGTTCGGCGGGGCTCTCCAGCAGGACCACAAAGTGAAACCGTACGCCTGATCTCCTCTCCCAAAGCCTCATCCCTACGGAGTACCCCTCAGCCTCCACAGACCACCCAAAAGGGTCAAATTAGTCTGACCTGACTCCTTATTCCAAGGAAAATAAGAGAGAAATCCAGGGGCTTCGCAGCCCAGCCCTTTGGGTCACTATACCCCCGTCCCTGCATCAATGGTACGAGGTGTTGCTTACAAGTAAATGTCCTATTCAAAGCATCCAGAAGGTTTCCCCAGGCCTCCTACACTCCAATTCCTCTACCTGCTGCTGGAGTAAAAGAAATGTGTTTTTAAAACAGGTTCAGGCTTTTTATTCTGAATTAACAGAGCAGGATGTGGATGTGAACGCCACGCAGCTCTGAAGGCACGCTTGGTAAATGACAAACGGAGATTGTTGCAGGCAGGCAAGTAGGTTGAGAAAGGAAAGGCACAGGAAGCATGGGCAGGGTGAGCTGACGCCTCTCCACCAACCCAGCCGCTCTGTCCTCTGGACGCAGAGGCACAGCACAATGCTGGGCACACTCCACCTGCACGGTGGGCTTGCATTCTCCCCAGAGAGGGGGAGGAACAGAACCCTGGAACCTGCGAGGCACTGGCCCACAGCCGGGAGGGGTGTGCCAGCCAGCTGGAGAAAGATGCCGCTGCTCCATGCTGTCCTCTCCGCAGAGTTTGGCACAGGGCTGAGAGGACTCAGCTGAGCACCAATGAGGGATAAAACTAGTCCTAGGAACCTAGCCCTGGGAGACGCTGGGCACTGAGTGCATGCCTGTGGGGAATGTGGAGGAGCAGCTCCTTGGGGCTGCTGCTTTACTGCAGACCTATTCCCGAGTCCCCGCAGGATGCTGGGGCAGTTCCCCTAGCCCTTCCGGAGACAGCCCAGGGACAGGTGGAAGGAGAGCCCGTCAGGGTCCTCCCTCACCACAGGGCCCCTCGCTCCAAGGCTCACTGTGATCAGGCTCCCCGTACAAGTGTGAGGCCCCCCCAAACCTGCTCATGGAAGAGTGCTCCCTCTCGGGCCCGCAGCCTTCGAGAAAGCAGCTTCCCCTCAGCCTCAGCTGCCTTTCCACCCTGGCGTCACACTTGTGGCTTAAGAATAAACGCACACATGAAAGTTCTGCACTTCCTGGGGGTCTGGCCACCCCACAGTGACTGCAGTTAATACTAACGGATGATTCCAAAATGCACCGCACTTAAGAGTGGATTTAAAGTGTGCTGGCCATAAAAAAGTCAAGTACTTGAGGATATATTACTTGATAGACTGGTTGCCCGACTTGGGACCTATCACCCCACCACACTGTACCCCATAAATAAGTGTACAGGCTGAGCATCTCTAATCCCAAAAGCTGTAGGCCTTCCCAAAAATGTTCCAAAACTCAAAACTTGAGCGCTGAGGACACACGTGGCAAACTCCACGCCTGAACTTAGAAGCGTGGCAATGACAGTTCAGGAACGCTAGCTACAGTCATTGTACAAAGATGGCCTTCGTGCCACGCAAGCAAAGCGCACATGAAACACAGGAGTTCAGATTTGTGTGCTTCCCCCCAGGAGGTGGTCACAAGCTTTTAAGCTAAGTATGCTCAACCTGTGGGATTATTTGGGAACGAATAACCAAACGAAAAAGAAGCCACCAGTGGCGTCTCTGGGGGAATCACATGACGGACTGCACTGCCGTGGCCCCGCCCCCATCCTTCACGTATACACGCAGCAGCCACGCTTACATGTCCATTAGCCAGAGGGATTTTTTCCGTAAGGTCCACGCCATCAGCATAAGCCTGGAGTAATCCAAAAATGTCTCTGGTTTTCACAGCCTCACAAAGGCTGTGGAGCTTCGCCGCGTTATCCGCGTGCTTCTTCCGCGAGTATCTCCTCTCAATGTACTTGGCCACAATGTAGCCCTTCCTGGTGTTCCTGAAACCAGAAGGGATGGCCGGGTAAATCATGAGGACCCCGTCCGCGATCCACCCAGCATCTCCTCTCATCTACAGCCACCTCAGAAACCCTGCCCGTGCTCCTCGGCCGCGCCGGGGGCTACACAGAATGGCCCCATTCCAGGACCGCAGCATCTACGCACCGAGGCCCCCAGGATGCCTCAGGTCTCCATGTTCTCAGCCTGCGCAGCGGTCCTGGGCGTCACTCAGTGAAGTCATAAGGCAGCCAGCAGAGGACGATCTCCTCACGTTCTGCCTGCCTGCCGTAGCCCCACCTGAAGTCCTGAGCTCCGTCCCCACCACCCTGCACTTAGAGGCCTCTCTTACCTCCATCTTCTTCTGGGCATGCTCTGTTGTGGCCCACGCCCCTCCCACAGCCATCCCTGGGCAGGCCAGGCACTCTGCTCCAGCCTCTTCCTGCTGGCCTCCCTGCCCACCCAACAGGGCACGCGCCTTGTGGACACCATGCCTGGCATGAAAGGTGCTTACTGTCAGGTGAGCCACCTCTACTGTCTTCTTTTTCTGGTCTTTAAATGGCATCATGTCTACTGGCCATTCTTATTTCCTCTTCAGAGAAGTCATTCTTTAAGTCTTTAATGGGGCAGTTGTTTCTTTGAGGATTTGTTTTTGGGGAATTTAATTTTTTGAGTTCTTAGATGAGGCCCTTGTACGGCTAGTGAAGATCTCCCAATCCGTAGGCTTTCCGTTGTATGGCTAGTGAAGATCACCTAATCCGTGGGCTTTCTATTGATTTTGCTAGCTGTGTCCTTTGCCATGCAGAAGCTCTACAGTTTCATGCAATCCCACTTGTCCAACCTTTGATTTGTTGTGTTTCTGGGTCTTTATTAAGAAAATGACGGCCTGTGCCAAGGAGCCCTAGAGTTTCTCCTATTCTTTCCTGTAATGTTTTCAGGGTGTCTGCTTTTGCTTTGAGGTCTTTGATCCATTTGGAGTTGATTCTGGTGCAGGGTGATATATAAGGACCTAACTTTAGTTTTCTACAGGATGACCCATTGCAACAATGATACTCATAAGACACTATGTTGGAAATGAACTTTACAACTGGGCGGGGGGGGGGGGGGGGAGTGGGGAATGTGGGGGAGGAAAGGATATTAGGAGAACAACAAAGGAGGGGTAACAACGCTCAACAAGAAATGTACTCATTACCGTACTCATGTAACTGTAACTCCCCCCCTGTACAGCATCTTTACAATAAAATAATTTCTTTATGACATTGTACTCAGACTCTACCCTACTTAAAGAACTTGAATGGGGGGCAGAAGGGGGTATGGAGGGGCCAGGATTCAAATTCCACTCTCACTGAGTATTGATAGTTTGAACTTTAAACAGGTTTTATTCTCTTACGGCTTCAAGTCTTCTTATTTGTGAAAATGTACGTGGTGGGTCCTTGCAGTGACTGAAGCAGTGAGCTAACCTAGGTAGAACATTCAATAGCGTCTTTAGACTGCGAAGTGCTAGGACTGATGGCTTTGCAATTCCAATGACAGGAAAACAGGCACAGAAAGTTCTAAAGAACTTACGAGTCAGAAATGTCAGAGAATAACTCCAGCTGCCACTATCTGAGGAATGGACAAAGGGCCTGAGCTGCCCGCAGGTGACAGTCCATGCTGACAGGGCAGTCAGTAGACCCTAGGATTCTACCACGTCCCACTGTGTTACTGTGGCACGTGGGGGGACTCTTCACCTGTGGGTGAGAGTCGTGGACCCGTACGGCCACCGGATCGGGGCTGTGGCAGAACTGAGGCAGTGAGCACAGCGTTCTGAGGCCACCAGCTCCACCTCCCATGGCTGTCCTTGTGAATGAGGAAACGCTCGGGTGGCCAGGTGCACAGGAACTGGTCAGTCCTTCTCAGTTCAGGCCCCACTCACGTCCCCGACACCAGGGTTGAGCCCACCTCAGCTGTTTTGACGCCACTCACTCACAAAGCCCTCAGTAGTGCGGGGACACAGCGGCTGTGCACTGGATTCAAGCGTGGGCAACTCTAGGTTTTTAGGCGAGGGGGAGGAAGGGACTCCAGCCCTGCGTTCTAGAGAAGCAGGCCTGGCTCCACCTGATGCACCGGGCAGCCAGCCCTGCACCTCTCCTTTCTGCCCTCCAGGCTCTGGGGAAAAGTGGTGGGAATGCTCCTCTGCCTCCTCACGGAGTCCCTGCTGTAGTACTTTTTTAACCCTGAGCCACAGACCACCCAGGATTTGAAGATGTAGATACTCTGTTCCCAGAAGCCAGGATCTGGGGGTTGGGCCAGGCAATCTGGGACTCTCAGTGCTTACAGAAGGTTGAGAGCCACTCCCCCAATACCCCTCCTCTCCAGAGGTGAGACCTACACACTGCAAACACACCCACTCCTGCTGGCTGCGTCCCTCACAGGGCCTGTGGCTGCTGGCGCAGCTGTGGACTTTCCTATCCCTGCCCCAGGTCTGTGTTGAAAAACCTGCTCTCCCCCAGTGAGGTGTCCAAGCCTGAGAACGGAACTCCCAGTGCAAGCAGAGCCTGTCCACCAGGGATCCCCAGAAATAAGCCAATCCAGGACGGGACGACACGGTGAATCCCAAACCAGACACTGGGCAGAGCTCTCAGCACCCACAGTGGGTGAACCCCAGACCAGACACTGGGTGGAGCTCTCTCAGCACCCATAGTGGCTCTTGGACAGCTGAGCTAGGTCATGTGGACAGAGAGGCATCTTATCTGGCCACTCTACCTCAGCAGCTGAGTTTCACACAGTGTGGAGATTCCAGGGGCATCCAGACCCTGTGCTCTGGCTCTTTACATCATTCTGTGTGTCTCTCATTTCCAGCCCCAGCCTGTCACCTTAAGGCATGGTACTTGTCAGCAGGGTGCTAACTAGCCACAGAACTCCCCATGGACCCGAGCAGACACTGTCCCCTGGCTCCCACAGCACTCCCACAAGGTTCCTTCCCCTCCTCACAGTGAAGCGCAATGCAGCCCAGAGGGGGAGCCTCAGGCAGGCGACCTGGGATGACCCTAATTCACTGGCAGGTGATACCTGGGGACCTAGATGAAGGCCTGTGTTGTGTTATGTATGTGTGTGGGGGGCACCTTCAGGGTAGCCCATTTGACAGAGAGGGTGCTCTTGTGAAGTCACCAGTCAGGATTTACTCATCTTCAGTGGGGCAGTCATTGTGACCTCCACAAATTGGATGTGGAGATGGATGAATTCTACACCCCTCCCCCCACAATCTCCATGCTGGAAAACAGAAGACAGGGTCTTGCAAATACTAGGCAGGCACTCCATTAGTGAGGTACATCCCATACCCTGGTAGTTGTTGTTGTTTGTTGGTAGTGGGGCTTGAACTCTGGGCCTGGGCACTGTCCCTCAGCTCTTCAGTTCAAGGCGAGTGGCTCTACCACTTGAGCCAGTGCTACTTCTGGTTCTCTGGTGGTTCATTGAAGAGTTTCACAGCTCTTCCTGCCCAGGCTGGCTTTGAACCGTGATCCTCAGATCTCAGCCTCCTGAGTAGCTAGGATTACAGATATGAGCCACCGCTGCCCGGCTTGTTGTTGTTTTGATAGAGGGTCTCACCATGAGGTCTGGGCTGACCTTGGACTTGAGATCCTCCTACTGCCACTCCGGAAGGAGGCTCTGGGGTGGCATGTAGCACAGCACCTGGTTCTCTCTCTCTTTTTGAGTGGATTATACATCTGTTCTGGGTCTCTGTCCATGCATGGCAGGATGTCTATGTAACCCTTGCCACGCTCTGGCGTCGTGCTGCCAAGTGAAATCTCCCCGCCTGTTTATCTGAGGCCTGTGGAGGACGGCAGTGAGCGCCACAGACGGCCCATCTGGTGTTCAACAGGAGCTTCCCTTGCGCTTCTTCATGACACAGAACCAGCGCTGACCTGGGAGCAGACGCAAGCCTGGCCTCTGCTGGTCTACTTGAACACGCTCAACACCCCCAAATCCATCTGGGAATTCCACAGGCCACCGCGGGGTGTCTCTGGTTTGCCCTTCAACAGACTGATCCACAGATGGTGTGTTCTTAGATAAAGCTAGAAACAGCACATTCCTTTCTGTCTAGAAGCAAAATATCCACTAATTGAAGTGGGCACGGAGCTGGGGCACTTTCTGACTTGTTGATTCATTAAATATTTACCTAACTCCACAAACAACATATTGTGGTAGGAAATATAAACACAAGGAATATGCAGTTTTTCCAAACAATATATGTGAAGCCTAGGTGTTAGTAGGGTGAGCTGTTTCAGAAGAGACAAGAGCATGGGGGCATTTCGTATCGCCAAACTGGTCAGCCATGCTTATTTTGAGAAAAAGGAGGAGTGTCAGCATCCATTTGAGTAGTGTCGAGGTTGGGAAGGGGGGATTCTTCGGTGCAGATAAAACACTGATACAGAAAATTGCAAACAGCTAGAATTAATTTTTATTATCATCTTCTCCCAGAGCAAATACTCTGCCTGCAAAGAAATAACTGACTGTGTTCATTGTTCAAAGTGAATGCAGATTCCAGCATTTCAGACCAAGCCCTTCAATGAGATTTGCAAACAGAAGGAGTAGTGGCAATTAAACAGCTCTCACTAACTAGCAGAGCGGGCAGTGCGAGGACAGACATGGCCCTGGCTGAACAGATCCTCCCACACACATGAGGTCCGATCACATCTGGATAAGTCCCACAGAAACCTAACTGGAGGGGCCCTGGTTTCTCAAGGCAGGTGGGGCAATGCTCTTCCGTGGCCTCTGTCGCCCACACAATGAAGAACAGAGCAGCCTCCACCTGTAACTTAGTACACTGAGCACCACAACTAAGTGCTAACCATCTCGCTCATTTCTCCAACGCCTCCAGGCAGTGTGCAGCCCGTGCTTTCCTTTTTTATACTAGAGGAAATGGGGACTTAGCTCACTGAAGTTAAAGAATCTGCCCTATCTGGACCAGGGAAGGCCTGAGCTGACTATGGCCATCCTGTCTTCACAGCTTCGGAGCATAGCTGGAAACACTGTAAGACAGATCCTGACAAACACAGCTGACTTTAACACCTCCGAAAGGCCCGGCCCAGGGAGCAGAACATCCTCCTCACATCCTCCCCACCTCGCCTCATCAACAGTGCAACCGAACATACAAGCCTGCAGCTCTGCAGCCTGTGGCCCCAACAACAAAATGGCTTCACCACGGGCTCATACAATACTACCTACTTCTCAAACCACTCAAATGCTTCACCATGTCTCATGTTCTAATTCAATTTCAGGCTTAATCCAAAGAAAGCATTACTTGTCTCAATAAATGGATTGTTGAACCTTTCCTTTCTTCTGCCAGAGAGTGCACTTTGACCCAGCCACACCACTCAAATGCAGGTGTTGTCTCTTGCTAGCCTGGACCCCAAGCTCTTTCTTCCTTCTGCCTCGCTCACACCTACCAGGCAAACATCCCCGAGCCCTACTGCAGGAAGGACAGGCCACTGCGAGAAAGCACTGGAGTCTACGGCGCAGGACAGACGCAGCATGAGCCCCTGGCTTCCCAGCCCGCCCCAGTGCAGACTAGGTGACTCACATTTGATAAAACTGGTGAGAAAAATCCCTGTTGTATGCACTGCCTCAATGGGCCACTGCATGCGTGGAGAGACATGAAAGCTTTATATCAACCTAAGAACACACTCAAACATTGTTTTTGAAGGAAACAACACTGTACCTCAAGGACACGAGCAAGGAAAGCAGTGTGAGAGCACACATCTAGGTTGACTCGTCAGCCGCTCCGTGGCTTAGAGTTCATGCAGGAAGCAAAGGCGGGAAAACGGCCAGAGAGCACAAACAGCCGTGGAGCTGTCCAAGGGCATGCACTGTGGTGAGCAGACTACTGCACGCAGACGTCACACACAGCGGCTGCTGAGTGCCCCACCCCCGAAATCCAGCCACACTGCTTTTGCATTTGGACACACAAAAAGGTTAAAAACATGAAAGAGAAAAAACATTGAGAAACAAAAAAAAAGAAACAGTGGGGTACTGGTGGCTCTCAGCTGTAATCCTCGCTACTCAGGAGGCTGAGATCTGAGGATCACAGTTCGAAGCCAGCCTGGGCAGGAATGTCTGTGAGACTCTTACTTCAGTTAGCCATCAAACGCTGCAAGTGGAATTGTGGCTCCCAGCATTGAGCAAAAAAAGCTAAGGAACAGAGTGCAGGCCCTGAGCTCAACCAGTAAATACACACACACACACACACACACACACACACACACACACACGCACACGCACACGCACACGCACGCACGCAAACCAACACTTAAACTGGCAACAACTGACAACAGAAATACCCCAAACCTGCTACCCCACCTCAGCTCAAGGAAAGGGCCAATCTTTCAGAAAACGAGAATGGCCAAGCGCAATACTCACATGTCGCTGCCAGGGTTGGGTTTTACCGAGTCCTCGGCTGGTAGGCAACACTCCATGATCTCATTGAAGCCTGCATTCCCAATATTCTTGGCAAGCTGAAAAAACGAAAGTCTATTTCAGGGTGTTGCATTATTAATGCCTTCCACTGCAGCCCAGTACTCACACATCTGATGATTTATTTAATGGCCACTAAGAAATAGAGCAATAAAGTGGTTTGTCTCTAATTAAAAGGGACAAAACCCAAAGCCCAAAGGCATCTAAAATGACAGATGTGGTGTACCAGGTCAGCCACGTGAACTCCCACAAGGTGTCCCTGGACAGGGAGAAGCAGGGACCTGGCCACTGTGTTTCTATCCCTGATAACCCCTCACAACACCAGACCCACCGAAATGGGTCTGCTCCCTGTTCCAGCTGCTGTACAGTGGGCAAGGACCCAGCGGGAGACACACAGGCCTAGAGGCCGAAACTCAGGTTCCAGCTACCTTCCATCACTGGTGGTGTGGCCCAGGAAAGTCAGTCCTATGAGAGCCACTGCTCATCAGCAGAATGGGAAGGATGCCTACCTTCCAGGGTCATCAATACAAGACTAGGGGAGAGCATTCACTAAACGCAGCACCCAAAATGCCATGTATTAGCTCTCAACCTAAGGTCTGTATGTAACCACTGGTCACTTGACTAGGTGAATATTAAATTAACACCTTCTAACGAAGACCAGGCACTATGCTAACTTGAAAGCTTGAGAGCAAGGCAACTGTCTTCACTGAAGGACTGGAGAATGACCAGAAGCTCCTGAAGAGCCAAGACTTATCCTAGACTCACCCTTAACACTCAGCTCAGCATCTGCCTCAGAGCAGGCTTCCAGGTTAGGTTTGTGCGTGCGTGCGTGTGTACTGTGTTCACTAACAGAACTAAAGACTTAGGTCTCCTGCATGCTAAACAAGTGTGTATGCCAGCCCCCAAGACAGAGTCTTTTTTTACTAAAATTTTTATAGTTATTATAAATGTGATGAATAGAAGGGTCATAGTTACAAAAGTCAGATAAAGAGTACATTACTTGGGCTGGGAAGGTGGCTCAGTGGTAGAGCGCTTGCCTTGCATGCTCAAGGCCCTGGGTTCGATTCCTCAACACCACATAAGCAAAAAGAAAAAAGCCGGAAGTGGTGCTGTGGCTCAAGTGGTAGAGCACTAGCCTTGAGCTGAAGAGCTGAGGGACAGCGCCCAGGCCCAGAGTTCAGGCCCCACGACCGGACCCAAAAAAAAAAAAAGAGTACATTACTTTCCAAGTCAGATTCCTAAATGTTTCATGATATGACACTACAAGGTAGTGCCTAACAGTGCTTAGAGAGAATATATTTTTTTTGTTTGTTTGGTTTTTGTTTTTGTTTTTGTCAGTTCTGGGGCTTGATGCTCTCCCTCAGCTCTTCAGCTCAAGGCAAGCGCTCTACTACTTGAACCACTGCGCCACTTCTGGTTTTCTGAGTGGTTTATTGGAGTGTCACAGACTTTCCTGCCTGTGCCAGCTTTGAACTGCAAACCTCAGATCTCAGCCTACTGAGTATCAAGGATTACAGGCATGAGCCACCAGCACCTGGCTGAGAATAGTATTTAATTTCCACCTTGAAATGACATGTTGGGGCAGCGGGTGGCAGTACTCTATTTCTTTTATTCTGAGGGGGGAGGTAAACTGGGGCTTGAAGTCAAGGCCACATACTCACACTTGGCATTTCCACTTATGAGACATGCTTTTAGGCATCTAGTTGGAGATGGAAACTCACAAACCTTTTTGCCTGAGCTGGCTTTGAACCACCATTCTCCAGGTCTCAGCCCGCTGAGAAGCTAGGATTACAGGCATAAGCCACCAGTGCCAGGCTACATTTCTGTATCTCTTAGCTCAACTACGCTAACTGAAGATGAACAGAGATGCTATGGATGGGGGTAGGGGAGGCAGCTGCTACCTGAATAGTCTGGTCTATCTCCAGGGGGAGCCAAGGGGACCTGGGTTGTGTGTGTGGGAACTTCCGGGGAAGATGCATAAGACAGGAAGTTGCACAGAGAAGGATGCAGAATACTGAAGAGGGGGAGCTTAATTCTTAAGTGGTGAGCCTTCCTAGATTGTACCTTGACCCTGGCAAGTGAACAAAGCTACCTATAAAGAGAATCCCAAAGCACTACCCTCTAACCAACTCCTCTTTGCTCAAATCTGTCATTGGGGCCTCCCGCAGGGGTCAAAGGGCAAAATCCCTGGACACAGGTATGAAGCCGATGGTCAGTTGGGGTGGCACAGTACGTGAAGTGACAAGTACCAACACAGCATGGGGTTAGTGCCCTAGGAAGGATTTCTTGGGCAATAAATGTCAGAATAGGACCGAGTCTCGATATCAGGGCCCTGGGCTTGCAGACAGGTGTACTGAGTGCTGTCATGCAGCACGCAGCGCGTACGGACAGCATCCCTGAGCCAAGCCGCTCACTGTCACTGTCGGAAGGGAGTGATAGGAGCCACGGGGACACTCTTGGTGAACCACCTCCCAGTTTGCAGTGAAGCAGGTGGGGGTTGGGGCGCTAGGGAGGATTGCCAGGCACTGAAAAGCTGCTTCTGCTTGAACAAGGCTGGCTTAGTGGGGCTGCTGATCTAGGGAGCACGGCGTCGGCAGATCACAATGCTGGGCAAGTGTTCACCCTGCGTCCTGCAGGCAGCCCTCTGGCACCAACACAGACAACACCTCTGCAGACGGGGCCTGTGGGATCCTACCAGATGGAAGACGTGGGCTCCAGCATGCCAGTGAGGAGGGCATGGGGAGGAAGGAGGGATGTGAGCCAGAGCCCTGACATCGAGGCTCGTCACTGCCACGTGCCAGGCAGAACCGAGGCTAGACTGGACCTAGGAGAGGCCCAAGTGTTAATTAATTCAGTCATCTGTGTCTACAGGGGATGAGCTCCAGATCCCGTGAGGATAACAAAACCCAAAGATGCTGAAGCTCCTTATATGACATAGTAGAGTATCTGTGTATAACTCACACACACCTTCTACGCTTTACCTCTAGATTACCTATACTAGCTACTACAACATAAATTTGTTGTTATACTGTACAATGTCCAACAAGACAGAGAGACTACATGAGACAGACACAGCACGAGGCAGGAAACGAGGACCGAACTGGAGCCCCATGAGCACGGAGACGCCAAGCTCGGGCGAGGAGGACAGCCAGGTGGCCAGAAACACCATCTTCCACAGCACTCACCCCGTGGGCATGCGAAAGGGGGTGGGCAGGGGGAAGAGCAGGGCTCACAGCAAATAGCAGGAGGCCACTAAAGCCAGAAAGAAGCTTCAGGTAGTTTGGGAGGGGAACAGCAAACAGCCTATCCACCATTTCCACAGTCAGGGACATCCCTTATTGTTTTCTTCTCCTTTCTGTTCCTCTGTCTTTATCTCCAGAGGAGAGAACCCTGGAGTGAGGAAGGCGAGACTCCTCTGACCCTGGCGCGTGTGGCTGGGCCTCCTCTCCTCACACAGGGGCAGCAGCGCGGCCTGCTCCTCCCAGCTGCGCTCTGGTCTCAGTCCCCTCAGTTCCCATCCAGGGGCTGACGGCAACCACACAGGTGCCACGCCCACCCCACCCTCGCTCCCCACAAGGAAACTATGCAGCCAACTGGGTCTCTGCCAATAGCTGTCTGCTACTGGCCTCGCTTTCTGTGGCAGGAAATGAGAATATTATGAATAGGCCCTGGGAGGACAGCAAGGTGGAGGGCTCAAAGTGCCAGGGGCACCTCGGGTGTACACGGGCGTACGGACCAGACACAAGAGGGCCCAGAAACCAGGGAGCTGCACGGCGGGGTGGGACATGTGGGGTGCAGGAAGGAAGCCCACGGGCTATGCTTCCCTCTGAGTCTTGAAACTTTCCTCTGGCATACATGACAATATACATACATGTTTAGGTGCTCCATTCTTTTATGACAGGGTTGTGGCTGACATTAACTTAAAAGCTGTGATTCTGGTGAAGGCTGGCACACCTCAAGGGTCGAAACTATAAATGCTGCTCAGGTGCATGCACCAGGCCCAGTTTCTTAGCCTCATGGATCTGTTTTCAAAGAGTTCTTGCTTAGATCAGACACAAAGCACAAAGTATCTAGGACAATGCCCGGAGCATCACTGATTCAATGATGCTCAATTCCTCACTGCCCTAAGCAATTGCTTTTAGCGCCCAGCCTGGTTACTGTAGTAGAGAAACAGCAACGAGGGGTCTCTGAGGGGCTTCCTCTCTACCTGCACCTGTGGCCTGGCTGTGCGCTGCTTGGCTTTAGTGTCTGACAGCTTGGTAACAACTGCATGAGAAAGGCAGCTGGCTCAGCTTCCTGACGCTTGAGCTACAACCTGATGGAAGAGTGAAAGTTCAATGTCAAAACAGCAAAGTTTCCTTATTCCACTTTTGATCAGGGAAACAGTTCATATACTACCTGTACAATGGGACTGGGGGTAACTGGAAAAAGTCAGTGCTGAAATAAAGATCTTCTATGTCAAGAAAATTTATCTTTTAAAAGTATGCTTGCCAGCAGGTTTCTGAAAGTAAGTTCATTGAAAATCTAAGGCAGTAGCTTAGCAAAGCCATTGTATACTAGAGCTGTGAGATGATGCAACTTTGCCAAACTAATCTATTAATACTTCACCTAACCACGTTTTCCATAAGTGAGAAGGTTTCTAAACATAAGGCACCAGCAACCTCACTGGATGCAGTTGTCCACACAAAACAGAAAGCGTGTGTGTGTGTGTGTGTGTGTGTGTGTGTGTGTGTGTGTGTGTGTGTGTGTGTGTGTGTGTGTGTGTGTGTGTGTGTGTGTGTGTGTGTGTGTGTGTGTGTGTGTGTGTGCACCTTCCTGAGTAGTTATAAGTCAATGATGGGAAAAAAACACTGGTCTGATAACAGGACAAAACCCAAAATACAGAGAGCTCAAATAACTACACAGCAAGAGAATAGCCTTATTAAATCAGAAGCAAAAAAACCAAAACAGGCATTTCTCAGAAGACACATAAAAGCCAACAAACATGACTAATTACCAAAGAAATGCAAACTGAAACCACCTCACATTTATAAGCATGGCTTCTATCGGCACAGTGAGAACGCATCAGTGGGGAGAGGAGAAAAGAACTCGTGCCTACTGTGGGTAGGCCTCTATACCAATACATCCACTAGGGAAAACAGTATTGTTCCCCCAGATCAGAAGCAGATCTCTGTATGTTCCACCTGTGTACGTATCCACTACTGACTATATACTCAAAGAAATAAAGGCAGTATGCCCAAGAGATACCAATACTCTATCAATGGATCAATGGATAAAGAAAATGTAGCACATATTCACAATAAAATACTATTCAACTTTTAACAAAGAATAAATTTCTATCATTTGTGACTACATAGATGAATCTGGAAAGCATTATGTTCAGTAAAATATGACAGGCTCAGAAAGACAAATTCCACCTGGACTCATTTATACCTGCAATGTAAAAGGTCAAACTCACAGAAGCCAAGGAACAGAAGATGAGAGGAGCGGTACAGAGACTGGACAAATGACATACAATTTCAGTAAATCAGGGCAAATAAATACATTCTGGAGGGAATTCAGGAAGTACAGTTGCTAATGACAACCACTTAAAGAGTAAATTTTGTGTTCTTACCACAAAACAAGATAAGCATGGGAGATGGATAAGTTAACTAGCTTGATTTAATCATTCTACCAAATATACAATGCATCAGAACATCACAGTTGTAAATTGCAATACAATAAAAATAAATTTAACAAAATCTTGTAATTACAGCACATCACCCTTAGACGCAGGCTGTTATTAACCTAACAGGTTGGAAGCTGCTGAGCTACCTTGTCTAGGCTGCCCACTGATCATTTTTGTGCCAGTCCTGGGTCTTGAACTCAGGGACTGTGTACTGTCCACTGTGTACTGTCCCTGAGACTATTTGTGCTCAATACTAGCAGTCTACCACTTGAGCCACAGCGCCAATTCTGGCTTTTTCTGAATAGTTTATTGAAGATAAAGAGTCTCATGTCACTTCCCTGCCTGAGCTGGCTTCAAACCACGATTCTCAGATCTCAGCCTCCTGAGTAGCTAGAATTAAAGGTATGAGCCACTGGCACAGGGCTCCCACTGATCTCTATAATAAGAGCACTTAAGAAGTCTGGCCAGGGGCTGGGAAGGTGGCTCAGTAGTAGAGTGCTTGCCTTGCATGCCTGAGGCCCTGGGTTCGATTCCTCGGCACCACATAAGCAAAAAGGAAAAAAAAAAGCCAGAAGTGGCGTTACGGCTCAAGTGGTAGAGCGCTAGCCTTGAGCTGAAGAGCTGAGGGATAGCGCCCAGGCCCAGAGTACAGGCCCCACGACTGGAAGCCCCCCCTCCCCCCCAAAAAAAAAGAAGTCTGGCAATATCTGCTGCACAAAAACAAAAAACAAAAAAAAAAAATGTACTGTGATTAACAAGTCAGCCAAAGGGCCTGCACCCTGCCCTATGGAGCAGAAAGACCCACACAGAGAACAGGCATCCCTGGTAGAGCCAGTGGGCTCTCACACAGACCGGAAACTCAGGCACATGGGTCATTTCTCTGAAAGCACTGCTAAGACCATCTTCGAGGGAGATATAATGAAGATAGTTACTATTCTGCAGCTTTTACTACGTGCCAGACAAAATTCTAAATACACACAAATAAAGAAGGGGGAGGGGTGACAAGATGTCAGGAAATTCTTTGTTCAGGCTTCTGGTTGTCTAAGCAAAACAAACAAGCCAGATGCTTTTAAAGCGGCTTGACATTCCTGTGCTTTACAAATGAACGCTCATGCTTCACTGAGAAGGGCTGAGAATCGGTATTGTGGACAGGATCATGCCGGAAGTCCTAGCACATGCACATGGGGGTTGGGGTGAAGCATGGAGGCCACTTCTTCTGAGTCCAGAGAGGCCAGTCCCATCCAGACCCCAGGCAAGGCCCGCAGGGAAGCAAACCCCACACCACCACGCTCAGGAAAAGAGGCCTAGTGGAGGGACAGTAAGAAACTACGGCAGAAATTAGATTTTGCAAATAGCTGCAGGTACTTGAATGAGGCTCGGCCTGGTTTCTCATGAGTGGCAGTAGTCATTCAGCTTCAAGGAGAATATGGACAGAGGCTTGGGGCTGGCACCAATGTGGGGTTCAAAGTTACTCTACCGTCCCATCATGACTGGAGGTGCTCCTCTCACCTTCTTTGGTGCTTTCCTTTGCAATGGACTCTCACAAAGATCATGAATCTGTTTTTGAGATGCATTTCTGAAGTTACAGGCTGGAGTCCGCCTGACTAGCTTCTGAGAGCCAACTGCTAAATTGTTTTGGTGCATGTGTGACACAGCCGTTAAGCATGGCTATTAAATTTTATACCATACTGAGAACAAACGGGTGAGATGCTGAAAACCCAGCACTCAGCTGGGTAATGAAGAGCTAGCCCATGGTACAAAGTGAGACCCTACCTCAACAAAACAACACAACTAAAACAGTCTCTCTGCATTTCCTAATTATCTTGCTATTTTCTATGTTCGGTGTACTTCTCCACTGAATACACGAGAGAAACACTGTGCACTGAATATCTCTTTCCAGCTCCACAGTAACTTACACAGGTAGCTAGAAATTGGCCATGGTGGATGTATTTATACCACAGGAATAGGCAGTCCGCAGACTAGGGATTTTTTTCCCCTGGAGTCGTTGTTAAACATTTGCCGGGGATAGGCTACAGGGAGGGGCAGATGTGATGTTTACAATGCTTATCACACGGCAAGACAACTCACCACAAATCCCAGTTTATATCCCATGAGCCTCAAAATTTACGTGTGAACCTTGGAACCAGATGACAGGACCTACATCTCAGATCTGCCACCATACTAACAGGCATACAACCCTGAGCATAATAGAATATTCCAAGCCCAGTTTTCCTTGGTGAGGAAGGTCGCAGGGCTATTGTAGAGAGCAAAAGAGCTAATACACACAGTGTCCTGCAAAGTGCCTAATACAAAGGAAGTGATTATCTCACTGTAAGTCACTGAGTGCTTCCACAGCCAGAAGCAAATCCATAGAAGTAAGTGATCTCGGTTAACATACTGTGACATAAACATCCTCAAATTTGAGCCTGTGACCGGGAGGAGCAACCTGTGTGCACACAGCCTTCCTCCATGCAGGCATCTGCATCTGTAGGTCAACAGTAACTACCGTTCCCAGCCCAGAGCACACTGTGAGGATCCTGCTGAGTCTAGCTTGACTTTAACCTTTAAGTACCCAGGGATATTACATGAATTATCAGAATCTACTCTAGCTTCTCCCAACTCTGGCTCCCAAAACCATAAAGGAATTACTCAGGAGGACTGAAAGGGTCCCACAAGATAGTTTACACCCCCAGGACCCTCAGTTGTCAACACTAGGAGAGGAGGAATACTAACCCCAGTAACTGCTGTTCGGTTGGAATGATTGCTCTTGACATTAAAATCAATGGCAATCAATATCCACTTACTACTTACTGTCCAACACCCAGCTACCTCAAGAAAAGAATTTCAAGCGCTGCTTCCTAACCAGCAGCTGCAGACTTGGGAACAGTCCGTGGTGGCTGGGAGTCTAGGTGGCCAGATGTGTACCCTGAGTGCGACTAACTTTGATACACAGTGGACCACAGTCCCCAGCTCTACATCTGCTTCACAGGGGCCTCGGTCTCCGCCTCTCTCCAGCATGGGCTTTCACGTCACTACTGACTCAAGAATCAGAGCCTCCTTTTTTTCTTTTTTTAAAGAAAATTAGCACCTGTTTAATGGATGGGTATAGTGGGCCATTCCCCATCCTTAAATCTGCATCAGCAGAATCCTGCTCCAGTCTCAACATGCCTTTGTTTGGCTTCACTTTGCGTTGCATTTAATATGCAACAAGAAGTGCCCTCGATTTACAACTAGCTGAAAATGAGGAATTATCAATGAGCTTATTACCCAAACCCATCTGGCAACATAACAACTACCAGCCCACTGAAATTTCAAGAAACCAAAATGGACTAGAAGGCAAAAATAAAAACAGCTCTTTTCCTAATTTAATCCAATCCAAATCAAATCACCAGCAGCTCGGATGTTCCCAGGACGTCCAGGGTGAGGGACTGCATCCTGGAGTAATGAACCCCCAGCTCTCGGTGGATCCCAGAACACTCGATGCAGGTCAAAATGCCCAGGTTGGTGGAAAGCCACGTGGGATCTGCCGAAGAGAACAGGCAACTTAGAGCTTGCTGTCAGAACGGGGTAGGAGGCAGAACTTACGTCCTACCTTTTCACAGAATACAAGGCTTTCAATATGAGGATATTCTTGAGCTTTGATACAGCTAGAACCTTTCAATCATCCATAACAAATAACAGCCAATGCACAAACAGGCAGACATCTGTCTTCCCTCCACCCCCCTCTTCCTCCACCGTCCCATTCATTTAAGTGACAGGTGCTCTGGGTAATCACCAAGCTATTTTTGTAAAAAGCTATACCACATCAGAAAATTCTTCTGTCATCTATGTTCACAGGTGAACTCAGCCTATTCTGCTGTGTTCACCTTGCTTTGGGCAGGTACAGGGGCTTCGAGATGGGTGCATTGAATTTTCACATCACCCCTGCTGGCTTAGGACTTTAGAACAATGAACATCACTGTGGCTTCCTACATGTAAAAGTATTTCACCATCCTTACCTTTCTCAAGAAAGAACACAATTCACCTCATATCACTCACTACCCCATTCTCCTTCCACAAAGGATCTAAGACTAAATGTAGCCTTCAGGAAACCAGGAACCTAATAGTACTTCTCAATTGCTTTGGTTGTTTCTAACAGAAATTGGCATAGAACTAGAGAAATGGAAAAACACTGACCAAGTCATAACCTTCTTGATTTCCAAATGTTCCAGAAAGAATCCCTGTCATTTCCCATTTAATTATAATACACCAATCCTTACACTTTAAAGTACCAGTTGCTACTATATTCTGTATTAGTTAAAAACAGGCCTCTGATACTCTCTATCAATATACAGACAGGAATGTCCTTGTCACAAAACCTGACAGGTAGGAAGGACCTGTTTCTGCTCTTTCAGAGTCACAGAGTAAAACAATAACTGAAAGTTACTTTATGAATTCTAGAAAGTAGGGCAGGGAAGCTGGCGTAAACCCCAGGCAGGTACTGGGCTCCTGCAGCCTCTCAGAGCCCCTGTGAGACTGGATGACCTTCAATTCACCCTTACCTCACCCTTCTGATTTCATTTCTCAAAGAGCATTGAGTCTTTTCCTCCCCACCCTTCTGTTTTCAGACTGCTCTGGGGCCCAGCAGGTCTGCACACAGTTCATTAAACATTTGTGTAATGGGATGAACTCAGGCTGAGCTGCACTTAATTTCATGTTTGAAATGAAAGTGAAAATCAGTGGAGGGATTCTGAGTCCAAATGAGGTTTGAATGTTCTAGAGCCTGGGGTGGAATGGGGTCCCCCGGTCACCTGGTGCCCCGCAGTCACAGCACACGCCGTTGCCCGTCATCTTCTGCACCTCCGAGATGATCTCCTTGGTCAGCTCCTGGACTATGTTATTTTCTCCAGTATTGTCATCTCCTTTGAACGCGTTGTTCAGTGCCTCTTCCTTGCTGTTCTGCAGCACAGACATCCATCTAAACAGAGTGGAGAATGTGACTTCCAAGAACCTCGGTGGGGTCCTGCCCCAAGCCCTACCTCTACAACTTACATCTGACATTCCTGTTCATCTTCTGCTTGAAAGTGGTACGTCCGGTCATCTGCATGACAAGAGGAGATTGGTCAAGAACTGTGAGCCAGACTGTGAGCCAGACTCAACACGGGGGCAGAGGGCATATCACTCATCTCAAAGATCACCTTAGCTCTCTGCCAGGAAATTAATGATTTCAATCAAGCACTCCTTAAGTCCTTCAAATGTCTGTCCTCCTCAGTACTTCTGGCTTCATAATGCAAAGGAAGAAACCTACCCTATTCCTCCCACTCCAGGCTGAAAGGGAAGTGGGCTAATGGAAACCATAGCTATCCTCTCAAAGGCTTTAATTTTTAAAATTCACTATAGAGTTGGTCCCCATGAATGAAAGAAGCTTTTTTGGGGGGAGGGGGGGGTCAGTTGGGGTCTTGAACTCTGGGCCTGGGCACTGTCCCTCAGCTCCTCAGCTCAAGGCTAGCACTCTACCACTTGAACCACAGTACCACTTGCGGTTTTCTGGTGATTGATTGGAGATAAGAGTCCCATGGATTTTCTTGCCCTGGCTGGCTCTGAACCTCAATCCTCAGATCTCAGCATCCTGAGTAGCTAGGATTACAGGTGTGAGCCACTGGCGCCCAGCTGAAAGCCTTTTCAAAGACTTATCAGAGGAGTACTCTGGCTAAGGCCAGAGTGTATCATTAAGTGATGGCCAAATATAAAAAGCCAGTCATGTACAGCTGGTCTTGGCAGTGGTTAAAGTGTTCTGTGGGCTGCTAGGCCTGTGTACACAGTGCTGTGGGAGGTGACATCATTTCTGTGTTATTCTTGCAAAAGAAAATAATAACAATAACTTCAGTTCAATCACAAGAAACTCTAGAGACATGCAAATGGAGGGGCTTTTAACACCAAAACTCATCAATACTCTCCAAAAGGTGTCAAGGTCATAAAAGAAAAGCCTGCAGCACTGCTGACCATAGAGAAGCAAGATAATAACAGCTAAATGCAATGTGGTGGCCTGGAGGGAATCCTGGCGCCAAGCATGGGCATTAATGGAAGGTGAGAGTTTCAGTTAGCAGCACTGGGTGTCAATGTTCCTGGTGTTTTCATAACTGCACATATGGATCCCTCAATTAGGATTTCTCCTTATTCGTCTGTATGCTACACTCCTGACTCACTGTACTAAGATATGCAAAGTAGGGGAAGCTGTGTGGCATATATACAGGAAGTCTCTGCCTACACAATCAATCAGTAAAGGGAAAAAATTAAACCCTAAGAGAAAAAAGAGGAGGTGTAACTTCTACCAATGACTGTGGTGACATTTGGAAACCCACAAATATTGGTAACCCTAAAAATAAGCAGACGACATGCCATCCTCCAGGAGTGGTTTTAGCTCCTGAAACTACAGTGATTCTTAGAGCGACTCTTGGTGAGCTGGCTGGGCGATGGATGGTCCGAGGTCCAGGGAGGTTAAGTAGCAGAAGCCAGCAAAGCCGGTGGCAGAACACCCTCCTGACTTGGCCTGTCCGACCCCAAACTACGGTAACCCTGTTACATGCAACAACCAAGAACACGAGGTTTTAAAACAAGTATTCTGTTTCCTTTTTCCTTTTTTTGAGAAGAGGGTCTCAAAAACACTGATGTGCTGGTTGGCTCATGCCAGCCTCGACCTTGTGATCCTCTTGCCTTCACCTTCCTCGGGCTGGGATTACTGGCATATACCACGCCTGGTCTGTTTTCTCTAACACAGCACATACCCTTAACTTGGAGTGTGTGAGTGCTTCTGTTTAGTAAACATCTGCTGTAATAGACGGTTCCATGGTGACTGCTCTGGGTATGCCACAAAGAAGAAACGCAAACAGAAGCGCAAAGACTAATTCTGTGGTGGGGAAGATGATTCCCCAAACTCAAGTTTCCAGGCTCCCTGAAGACCCCTCATTGTTGTTCACAGCATTTCTAACATTGCACGAATAAATTATGGAAGGCTTCTGCAGCTAAATGTCCTCTTAACAAACCAGGCAAAGGGGTTTCAGGCCTGAGTCCCATCCGGCACAATCTCCTTGTGTGGAGTCTCTCAGTTCACAGAGCCCGTGGAGTGGGGCGGTCCTGAGTTCAATGGCAAGCAACTGCCACAGACAGAAAGACAGATGCGGCAGGGCAATGGAAAAAAAGGATGTTTCTTTCCAAAATTAGTTCTTCAGTACGCTGTGTCTGACATGGGGCTGGTGCCTTCGAGAATTTAAAATAACTTCTCTATAGCACACACAGCATTCAGAAGGAACCTTACGAGAGATGAGGTCAAAACACTTCTTCTCCTCTGGGTTGGTCTTCACTTGGCAGGTCAGGAGGTTGAGCTTGGCGGGCGGCCGGTTAGCCTGTTGAAACACAAACACAAAGCACGCGCTGAGTGGGGAGCAGTGAGGGCACCTCCTCTGCTCCTGAGAACACCGCAGGAGCTCGCTCTTGGCTAGGATGGGGAGACTCTTTCTGGAAGGCAGGCTTTCAGCCGAGAAGCCTGAGAGCAACACTGCAGGGTTCGGGACTCCAGCGGCAGAGGCCACTGCTTTCCCTGCCAGAGTACCTGTGGTGGTCTACACAAACCCATCTGGGACAAGGGGGCGCGCAGGGGCAGCTTCACAGCTGGTGGCGATGGACTCCCTAGATAAAATTCTCCTGGGCTCTCAGTTTCCTAGGGAAACTGGGCATCTAGCTTCACATCTGGAGCTCTTAAATGTCTTCTTGTTGTTGTTGTTTTGCTGGGCATTGTTGGCTTATGCATGTAAATCCCAGCTACCCAAGAGGCTAAGATCTGAGGATCATGGCTTGAAATCAACCTGGGTAGGAAAGGTTATGAGACTCCCACTTCCAATTAACCACCAAAAAGCCAGAAGTAAAGCTGTGGCTCAAGTGGGAGAGTGCCAGTCTTGAACAAAAAAGCTCAGGGACAGTGAGTGCCCAGGCCCTGCATTCAAGCCCCAGTATTGGCATGCAGGTACATAGGCATGCATGCACCCACACACACACAGGTGCGTGCGCACACACACACACACACACACACACACACACACACACACACACACACACACACAGCATTTCTCTTTGTTTCTTTTTGGTATTGCTAGCGTTTGAAGTAAAGCCTATGTAAGTGCACTTGCTAGGCAGGTGCTCTACCACTAAGCCAAGCTCCAGTTTAAGTGCAGCTGAGTAAAAACCTCACTTCTAAATAGAAAAAGTGATCTCTGCACAAAAATGGCAGAGAAATAATTGTCCTCACTTTCAGAAGTGATAGCAGGTAACAGATTCAGTCATAAATGTCAATCATTACTGTCACTCAAGTTTCAACAAAATACACTTCATTTACATATGTAACCCCAGCTCCCACCCACCACAGATCACAGTGTACTTTTGTCAGAAATGTACCAAAAATGTCTATTTTACTAATTCAAAGAATAAAATTACATTTAATCCAAAGAAGCAAAGAACAGATGGTTAGGGAAAACGTCTTGAGTGACAACATGCTTTAAAAATCTTGGAGAAGCCTTCAACTATGAATGGGCTTCTCTTACCCTACCAAGAGGCTGAAAGAAATACCAAGCAAAAAATGCCTTAAGCTTCACCAGTTCTTGTGTCTCTTTCCAGCAGCTACCAGTTGCTTCAAGACACATGACACGTATGTGGGGTTAATCCAGACCCGTTCACACCAGCAGCCAGGCACGTGTGTGTGAGCTCCTGCACACACAGACCAGAGGTTACCACCTCTCACTCTAGAGAGCTGGCGGGGTCTTCACCCCCCCTTATGATGGGGCTGATCCTTGCAGAGGCAGAGTTTGGGTTTGTTGAAGGATCTGCCTACGTTGGATAAGCAGGCTCTCCTGGTTTTGGGCTGGGGTGTCTAACCTCCTCTATAGAAGCCTATGTGTACCCTATTCTCCAATGACTGGATTCACTGACTAAACTCCTAACAGATCATAATACTCAGTATTAGAAGACTCCACCCTGCCTAATCTTGAGAGTTCCAAGTAAAATCAACATCAGTTTTTGAGCTTCACCAACAGGACTATCAGCGTGTCCAGAAACCAGTATATGAGCGATGCATTTCACAGTGACGAGCAGAAGTCTCTCTCTGAATGATATCACAACATGCACAGTCCCTGGCCTGGACAGCACACCCAGGGAAGGCAAGGGCTATCCTGCGCTTAACTTGGAGCAGCAGAGAAGCACAACCATTCTCCCTCACTACCTTCAACTTTTAACCTTTCCTCCTCCCCGTGGCATGAGGGAAGTTGTTCATTCTCTAAGGTAACTACCCTCAAAGACACATTTCTCACTTCACAGCAAATGGAAACCATCAAAAAGGACCAAGCATGGAGGTGTGCACCTGTTATCCTGCTATTCTAGCTATGCAAGAAGCAGAAGTAGAAGGATAGTGGTCCTGGGTTGGGCTGGGCAAAAGCAGTATCTTGTTTCAAAAGTAAGCAGAGCAAGTGAGTACCAGTGGCTCATATCTGTAATCGTAGCTACTCAGGAAGCTGAGATCTGAAGATAGTGGTTCGAGACCAGCCCAGGAAGGAAAGTATGTGAGAATCTCAATCTCTAATTAACAACAAAAAGCTTGAAGTGGAGCTGTGGCTCAAGTGGTAGAGCATTAGCCTGAGCAAAAAAGCCCAAGGACAGTGTCCAGGCTCCAGAACTGGCACCAAAAACAAACAAAAACATCAACAACAACAAAAAATACCAGAGCAAAATGTGCTAAAGGGTCGGGTGCCAGTGGCTCACGCCTGTAATCCTAGCTACTCAGGAAGCTGAGATCTGAGGATCATGGTTCAAAGCCAGCCTGGGCAGGAAAGTCTGTGAGACTCCTATGTTCAATTAACCACCAGAAAACCGGAAGTGGCACTGTGGCTTAAGTGGTAGAATGCTCGCCTTGAGTTGAAAAGCTGAGACAATGCCCAGGCCCAGAGTTCAAGCCCCACAACTAACAGAAAAAAAAAGTGCTAAAGGCATGGCTGAAGTAGAAGAGTCCCTGTCTGAACCAATAAGGCACTTGCCTAGCAAGTACAAAGCCCTGAGTTCAAACCCTAGTACCACAAAAACATAAAGCAAAAAAAAACAAAACAACAACAAAAAAACCAAATTTGCCCATTTACAGGAAGTAGTTAGACAGAGTAAAGCTGAAAGAAGAATTTGTGAGAAAAAATTCCATCCACAAACTCCCCTTCTGGCTCCACTTTAGAAACAAGATGTCATCAATCCATTTGGCTGCACTACAGGGTTGTTTTTTGTTTTCAGAATTGTTATTATAAAGGTGATGCACAGCGGGGTTACAGTTACACCAGTCAGGTAAAGAGTGCATTTCTTTTTGGACAGTGTCACCCCTTCCCTTGCTCTCCCAGTTTTTCCCTCCTGCCCCCACCCATAAGTTTGTACATCTGTTTTATCTCATTTACAAGGCAGGCTACCTTTCACTGAGAAGCTCCAGTTTTGTGCAAAATTCAGGAAGAAGGGCAGATCTAATAGCCTAGTGTATATCTGCCTTGAAGGCACAGAATCTAAGTGATACAGCTATTTTAATCATGTCATCCTTTTTACCAATTTGTCAGGCTTTTAAAAGGAAGTTTGCATTCTTCCTGCATGACCGATCATCACTTTTTTTTTTTTTTTTTTGGTTGTGGGGCTTGAACTCTGGGCCTGGGCGCTGTCCCTCAGCTCTTCAGCTCAAGGCGAGCGCTCTACCACTTGAGCTGTAGCGCCACTTCCGGTTTTCTAGTGGTTTATTGGAGATAAGAGTTTCACGGACTTTCCTGCCCAGGCTGGCTTTGAACCGCGATCCTCAGATCTCAGCCTCCTGAGTAGCTAGGATTACAGGCGTGAGCCACCGGCGCCCGGCCCGATCATCACTTTTTAAAAAATCAGTTTGCTGAAGAACCAATGGGAGCCTCTTCCAGAATAATCCAGCCCAGCCAGCCCTGCATGGTGTGGCAGTGCTGTAACTTGGCAGGGAAGGCGCCTAATGACAGTGCTTCATCCCAAGGAGCGCTTTTCCCCATGCCAGAAACACAATTGGTCGGGGCTACTGCAGAATACCAGAGTGAGCTCCGACTGAATCCATCCAGGATGGAATCCTCATTGCTCTGCTTGAAAACAGAGGATAGCAATTTCACTTCCCAAATGCTGCCAGCTTCCGGTTTCCTAACTCACATGCGCCCTGGGGGCTTCCCGTTTCTAGCATTGGGACTCCTGGCGGTGAACCAGGAACTGCACTTAGCTTCCCCTTTCTTGGGACCATCTTTGGGAGTCTGATCCTTTTTCTGATGGGAAACTAGCATATACAAGGGGTTGCTGCTAAACAGGTAAGAGACACTAACAGTCACACCACATAAAAGAGGCATCATATCAACTCTCATTCTCATCTAGGTCACTAGAGCTAGACGCAAATACTTAAAGGTACAGGACCAGCTGGGCGCCAGTGACTCATACCTGTAACCCTAGCTGCTCAAGAGGCTGAGACCTAAGGATCATGGTTCAAAGCCAGCCTGGGCAGAAATGTCCCCATGAAACTCTATCTCCAATTAACCACTCAAAAACCGGAAGTGGCACTGTGGCTTGAGTAGTATAGTCTTGAGCACAGAGAGGCTCAGGGACAGCGCCCAGACCTTGAGTTCAAGCCCCATAACCAAAAATAAAATAAAATAAAACACAGGACCATGAAGGATCTTCAGGGTTCTGACTGCCAGGGTTTGAATAGCAACACACAGGCAAGGGGAGAAAAGGAACCCTTAGCAACTGACGAGAGTCTGGGAAGCAAGCTACTGGGGTGCGGGAGTGGGGGTGCAGCTAAATGACTGCTAATGCAGAATAAGGTATCCCGAAGAGGTCCGTACAAAGGCTCCCTCAAAGTACAAAGTTCGCATTACCGGTGCAAGCTGGGCAGCAAGCAGCGCCCTGCGCATCATGGAGCTGCTCATGACTACGCTTTCCCCCAAACGGGGGCAATCCACAGTCATTTAAAGAACTACTGCCACTGAAACTTTTGAGAGGAAACTGAGGGCTGGAAGTGACTAGAAACAACTTATGCTGTTGGCAAAGGATCATCAGCTACTGTCCTGTCACTGGAGAGAGCCGAGGCCCTGGGCTTGGGCAACTCACTGAAGCACATGTGCCTTATGAGCTGAGAACGTTAAGGCCATGAGGGAAAACTTGGTCTTATTTCATGAGATTTCTACATCAAGGTGGTAAAAGAAAATGGAGTTAAAACAACTGAGCAGATAAATTAAAGGAATCACAGGTGGTAAGGCCCAGTAAGGAAACTGGGCCATGTTCTGGACCAACACCCCTAACATTGAAGACGTGACAGGGTTAAGTACGGTTGCTCTCAGTCTACAACACTCACGCCTCCCTGGCTTGTGTAGCTACCTATACAGAAAGAGAGGCACTGAGTCATGTACCAGGCCGCTAAGCCCAGGCGTGAAGTGGTGACCAGTGCAGCCTCGGTTCTGAAAAAGGGGACTGACCTTTATTTGTCCAGTCTGGCATCGCAGGAAATCTGCTAGGCAGAGGTTACAAAGAGATCCCGCAGACTACCCTAGTAAGCTCTCACCTCTCCTCCTTCTCTGAAGGAAACAAAGACTCCAGCAGAGGCCAGGCTGGAACGGGGCTGTTTCTCAGGACCCCACTGCCACCATGACCTTTCTCTAGGACCCAAGAAGCTGTGCCTCTGCCCAGCCGGGTTTTTCACGTAGAATGGGAGAAGGGACCAAGAGGAAGGCTCGGAGAAGATACCGCCACCGCCACCGCCACCGCCACCCAGGGCCACAACTGAGGCGACCGGTGTGCACACAGGAAAGGCCTGCACTAAGGGAAAAGGAGTGTGAACAATCGGAGGACACTGGCATTACCAACCACACAGCACTCAGCTCAGCTCGGGCCAGTCAGCCCCACACCTGTCTACCAGCCTGCCTGGCTTCCCCGCCTCAGTCTCCCCCACGCCTACCACCTTCTGTGAAGAGCTGTACTGGGACTGTGATGAAGCTCCTGGTCTCTGTGCCTCATTTTACGGATTGCCTTTGTGCTGTTTCATTTCGTTTTTGTGGTACTTTGATTGAATCCGGTTCTTCACAAATGTTAGGCCGTGATCTACCACTTGAATTACACTCCCAGCCCTTGGCTACATGGTGTATTTTTGCCCAGGCTGTCCTTGAATTTGTGATCCTCTTGATCTCCCTCCAAGCAGCTGGGATTACATGCATGTGCCACTGCACCCAGCTGATTGGTTTTTCTGTATGGCTAACCTACAGGGTTCAGGTTTCTGGGGGGTTTTGGAGGGAGGGAGATGGTACTGGGAATTGAACTCAGGACCTCATGTTTATAGGCTGATACTCTACCACTTGAGCAAAGCCAAACCCCAGCCCTTTTTGTTTGATTATTTTTTCATATAAGGTCGTGAGTTTATGTCTGGGCTGGCCTCAATCACAATCCTACTATTTATGTTTCCCATACAGTGAGAGAACAAGCATGAGCCCTCAGGCCCACCTTCTATTGAGATAACAGCGTGAACTTTCTGCCCACTTGAATGCTCCCTACTCTCTGCCTCCCAAACATGGGAGACATGAGCCTGTGCTCAGGCATGAGCGCGGCACTCAGCATGGGCTGTTATAAACAGGATGATGGAAAAAGAATTGACTAAGATTGAACACAGAGATTTGTATAACATAGTTACTGAAATGGCTTTTCTCTTGGATTTCTAATTTCTTTTTTTTTTTGGGGGGGGGGGGGGGGTCCAGTCGTGGGGCCTGAACTCTGGGCCTGGGCGCTGTCCCTCAGCTCTTCAGCTCAAGGCTAGCGCTCTACCACTTGAGGTACAGCGCCACTTCCAGCTTTTTTCTTTTTGCTTCTGTGGTGCTGAACCCAGGGCCTCAGGCATGCAAGGCAAGCACTCTACCACTGAGCCACCTTTCCAGCCCTGGATTTCTAATTTCTGAATACTTAAGTATTTTCCGTTTAATGGAAAAATAGAAATCTTGTCCCAAGTGGGATGTTCAGCTCCCAGGACAGGGTGGCAGGGGGAGCTGCCTGCTATTTTGTGGCTCCTGGAAGTAACAGCATTGCTCCTCATTCCAGAAAACGTGGCTGATAGGCAGCTCCTGACTCTGTGAAGCTGCCATTCATGGTAACCGCACTCCACCCAGTAAAACATGCTGGAGCTCACAGCCATTCTTTAACAGAAAAACTGCAAGAGTCACCCCTAACACCACTACACAGGCCCAACACCTTTGTCCTGACGTTACTAACAACAGCACAGAACACATTTAGCTACATAAAGACCACAGATTAAAAGAGAGTAGTACTTACAGTACCATGGGATATGGTCAGAAAACCATTTTTAACTGAGCATTTCCTTTTCTGCCACACTTTTCGGATCCTTAGAGGGGAAGCAGGAAAACAAGAAGAGTTTAGACATTTCAGACACGGGAGACAATGAACATACACACATTTCAACTCTAGCACTAGTGTCACCAGGTTCACCTACCCATCGCTTTTCTTGTAGAGGCTGCCATTCCGCTCTGTTCCGTGTTCTTTGTTTCCCTGAGGCTGATGTAAGCTATAAGCTGTACTCTGGCGCATTTGTGAGTCCTGAAAAATGGTCAAGAAATTGCTTTATAAGGTATCGCCTAGGTCTCAATAGACAAAACAAAAAATGTCTATATGTGTTTTTAAATTAGAAATTTTCCTCCTTTTCACTATATCACAAAGGGGCATAAAATCTATTATCTAGGAGCTCATGAAAGCCATTTTTCAGGATAGAGACAAAGTGTCAAAAATCATCATGTCCAGTGTTGGGGTTGTGTGGCTCTAGTGCTTGCCTGGCATCACAAGGGGCTTGGCTCCATCCCTGCCTCTGGAAGAAAGGGGGCGGGGGGGGGGGGGGAATAGTGACACAGCATCCAGGAGGCAGATGTCATTTCCTGCCTCTTACTACAGACAAGCTACTCAGGCTTTCTGCCTGCTTCCTTCTTGGACAATAGGAAAACCAGACCCAGAAAGACAGTAAATACAGTCAGAATTAAACATAAATACCAGCTCCTAATGGTATCAGCCTAGCAATCCACTGCTTACCTATTTATCTTAAGAACTGGGGCTGATACTAAAGCAAACTGCTCCAACTACATAGACAACCATCCATGAGGCAGCTGAGAACTGACGGAGTCCAGCTCACTAGGAAACTCCAGCCTAAGCACTTAGAGCAAGACCAGGGACCAATCCCTAAAGCTAGAGTCCCATGTCTGGCCTCCAACAGGAGGTCAATTGGTGCTTAACAAATGATCAGGTGAGCCAATCTGAGAGTAGAAGGGGCTACCAAGACCAGCTGGAAAATCTGGCAGATCTGAAGGGAGTAAGAAGAAAGCCAGACACGGACAATTCCAGAAAGACTGAGAGCCCTCCCTTTTGCCCCCACCCCCAGTTTATTTCCTAACTGAAGAAACAGACACAGAATGAAAGCAGGTGATCTACTCAGGGTTCAGAGCTCCTGAAAGCAAGTGCAGAGTATGAGATGGAGTCAGACCAGGGTGCTCCCCCGGCTGTCCTGAGACAGGAGGGCCAGGCTCCGCACAGCCCCCAAGAAGATGACTATTCCCGGATTCTGAGCACATGCCCAGAGAGGAGGGGACTGATGCATGAAAATCAGTGACCTGAACCCAGAATAATACTCAAGAATCAAAGAGTCCAACAGAGAAACCAAAGAGAAAGAAAGTTTGGAAGAGTTGTAAAGATGTGGGCAAGCAATGGAAGAGAACAGCGAAGTGTCTGAGAGAGAGGCATATGGAGGGGCAGACGGGGCCACTATGTAAGGAGGCAGCGGTGGTCCTGTAGCCAGAAGACAGGAGACAGCTTGGCAGGCAAGATCGAAGCGTAGATTTCAGTGCTCCATTCATGATGGTGTGAAAGAAGATTCTGAAGCACAGCAGTATTTATATTTGATGAGACCTAATCTATGTACTGTTTATTTTGTTATTTGTACCTTAGGGATCAAATATAAGAAACAATCACCTAATCCAAGTTCATGAAGTCTATGTCTATACATCGCTTTTAAGAGTTTAATAATCCATTATCAGGGAGTGTGTGTGTGTGTGTGTGTGTGTGTGTGTGTGTGTGTGTGTGTGTGTGTGTGTGTGTGTGTGTGTGTGTGTGTGTGTGTGTGTGTGTGTGTGTGTGTGTGTGTGTGTGTGTGTGTGTGTGTGTGTGTGTTGTTTTTGCTTTTGGTGCCATTCCTGGGGTTTGAACCCAGGGCCTGGACTCTATCCCTGAGCCTTTTTGCTCAAGGCTAGTGCTCTACGACTTGAGCTACAGCTCCACTTCCAGATTTTTGGTAGTTAACTGAAGGTAAGAGTCTCGGAATTTCCTATGTGAGCTGGCTTTGAACCCTGATCCTCAGATCTCAGCCTCCTGAATTATTTGGATTACATAAGCCACTGGTGTCCAGCTTGAGTTCATTTTTGATTATGGTACGAGATGTTTCCCATCTGTGCTTCTGCTTGTGGCCATCCTGTCATCTTAGCTGCATTGTTGGAACGCTTGTCCCCATTCCGGAGCCTTGCTGAAAAGTCACTGGCCACAAAGGCTTTATTTCTGAGCTCCTTCTGTTTCTCTGATCTGTGTGTATCCATATGTCAACTCACATTGCCATGGTTATTACAGCTTTGTCAGACCTGAAATCAGGACATGTGAGTCCTCCTCCAGCATTGATTTTCTCTTTTTAAGACTGTCGGCTATTCTTGGTCCCTCACATTTCTGAATGAATTTCATAATCAGTTTGTCAATTTCTATAAAAAGGCAGGTGGGATCTGGATGGCAATTGTGCTGCAGTGATAGATCGATTTGGGAGTATGGTCACTGCCACATGTCAAGCCAGATCCACAAATAGGAATGTGTGGCACTATTTGTTTCTGCAGTACTGGGGTTTGAACTCAGGCCCTTCTGCTTACTAGGCAGGTGCTCTATCACTTGAGCCACATTCCCAGCCCCATCACTGACTTTTCTAAACTCTGCCACACACATGCAACAACTCTGGAAAAAAAACAAAAACCTTTTACTGGGGTGTCAGTAGTGTGTTAAGAAACTCTCCAATACCAAGCTTGACAACTGACTCCGAAATAAGCAGATCTCACATGGGAGAAACTGCTTCACTTTCTACAGGCATGTTCTGTAGCATGCAGGCCTGTGGACCCAGAGTGAGCTTCTCACTCACGGGGTAGGATACACCCAGAATCCACATTTCCCAAGAGGGCAGATTGGAGAACTAGAGATGTGCAGCAAATCCAGCTTTCACCGTTGCCAGAAATAATGTAGTAGAGGGGTAACAAAAGCGTGCTCACCTCATTGACTCTACGAAAGACTAAAAATAAGCCTGCCAAAAGACTCAGCTGAACTGGATGTACTGCTATATACCTGTAATCCAAGAACTCAGGAGATAGAGGCAGAAGATCTCAAATTCCAGGCCAGCAGGAGCTACAAAGTGAGATCTTGTCTTAAACAACAAACAAACAACAACAAAAACCCATGATTTAGACCTGTAATCCTAGCTATTCAGGTGACTGAAATCTAAGGATTACTATTTGAAGCCAGCCCAGAAAATTTAGTCTGTGAGACTCTTATTGCCAATTAACCATCAGAAAACGGGAAGTGGCCTTGTGGCTCAAAATGGCAGGGCACTAGCCTTGAGCCAAAAACAAAACAACACAAACAAACAAACAAAAAAAACCCTCAGGAACGGTGCCCAGGCCCTGAGCTCAAATCCCATCACCACCACCACCAACAACAACAAAACCAAATCAGAAAGACTTGACTTCACGAATAATGTCTACTAATTGGAGGAAAAGTCACCTTGTAGGTGACATCAGTGAAGGCTTACGGCTGGGTGCTCATGGCTTTCATACCAGGGAGAACCAACCAGGTCTCAGGACTTTACAAGCATCAGTGTATGAAGACTAGGTGGTTCTCTGGGGAACATAAAAATCCTATCAGCATCCACGTACCCTCCATCCAGTGACACATTCTCAGACACTAGACACCACCTGTGTCTTGACTTTTAGGTAGCTCCCAGGTCCTGCCAGGAGTCTCCTAGATGAGTAATGATTCTATACCTGAAGTTCAGGTACATGGACTATGCTGCGGACCTCACAGATTGTACGCAAGCCCTGAGCTGAGACTCTACAAAGTCCTAAAAACTTTTACACCTGTCCTCCTCTCATAAAGTCCGTTCAGATGATTCCGTGAGCAGTGGCCTGCAGAGGGGGGCACTTCTCAGGCGGAAGATTTCTCTGCTGAGGAGGGGCTATGAGGTCTGGCTCATCTCAGCGTGGAAGGCACGGCGGATGGCGGGAGCCAGCAGCAGTGTTCTCAAGTCTCAAGAGCCCTCTCCGTTGTCTTGGGGCAATTTCTGAAGACTCTAATACAAGGTGTTGAAGTCATGTGGCACTCACTGAAAGAACAGGCTTGGAGAAGCACAGACCTGAGGGCCACCTGGCGGCACAGCACTGAGCGAGCTGCAGCACGTGCCCCATCCCCTCTCTCTTGGACTCAAGTTGTGAATGTGGGCCCATCAGACGTACACTGAGAGGTCGCACTGGTGATGCCAAGTGCCAGAAAGAATCATGAAATGTCAGGCAAGCAGGCAGTGCCTGGGCCTGGAGAGGAGCATTAATTATCACTCCACCCCCAAATGAGAGGTCGGTGGGCAACAGTGATGCCGGCTAGATGCGGGGCGGGAGGAATGAGAAGTAGGATGGGGGAATTTGGCCCAGAAATCTGTTCACCACCTGAGAGCTCATTGCTTGCTGAGCAGATGAACTGGTACCTGTTCATTACGATGGAGCCGAGAGCCTGACAGGACGTTTTTCTCAAATCTTGCACCAGCTCTCTGTGGCTGACGCAGGCACAGGAGATCGAAGTGTGGCGAGGTCCAGGACCTGACCACTACGGTGCTGGTAGATGAGGAAGACACGGGCGCCAGCTCTTCTGCTCCACTAGACAGATGCTGGGCAACCTCTGGTCCTGGACAGAAGTGGTCCACATGGCCCAGCTGCCACAACTGTAGCAACCCCTGTCATCCTCCAAAGCCGCTGCTCAGACCTCATCGCTGGCTGTCATTCCCACAGCACCTGGGCTCAAGCTGCCAGCTGGACTCAAGCTGCCAGCCAGGGCAAAGGACCTCTCCCCCCCCCCCCCCCCCCGCCCACTGCTTTCCCTGCCCCACCCCCGACTGTGGGCTCCTGAAGAGGTGGGAGGTGCACCGGCATTGTTCTGTTGAGTGTGGGCATGAGCAATGCCTAGTGCAGAGTGAGCACGGAAAGAAGAGCAGCAGAATGTGTGGACCGATGGTGAGTCCTACATCCCCAGGCGCAGGAGCAAGCGGGGCTGCTATGCCCTCGGCAGGGAAGGCGGAGATTCAGCGATGCCCGAGGTGAGCATGACACTGCTCATAAATCCAGACCGGAAAGCTGAGGTGAGGGGAAGACCGTGGAGGGGGGACAGACTTTCCAGCCACGCTCCACCACACAGGGATGCCTGGAAAGGAGAAGAGCTGGCCAAGAGAAGAAGTAGCCATGAGGCCAGAGTGGAAAAAGCCCTGAGGTTTTAGCACTTAAGGCTTTGCAACCCAGAACCTTGAGTCTAACCCTTCCCCACCAGCACAAGTCCAGGCTCTCAGTGCCACATGGAAGGACTGGCCCACACCACAGCGGACACACCAGAGCAAAACCCAGAGAACGCACATGGGTGGACACGGGAGGAGGAAGGCGAACGTCAGGCTGACATGGAGAAACACGAAAAGCAGCTCTGAACGGTTTTAACTTTGTAGGGGGATCTTTCCTGAAAATCAAGCGTGAGGATACAGAAACTCTTGTTCATTTATACAACTTTTCAACTTTTCTCTAAGTCGGAAAACTGGGGACATCACAATAACACCCTCTACAGAGAGCAGAAAACCTCAAGAACAAAATATGACTTTGGGAGATGGGAGATATACTAGAATCCTAAATGGCTCAGGCTCGAAATCTAAGTACAGCCAGGGCTGACAAAGCAGAGCACTGAAAGCACCACCCTGCGCAGCTGCTCTCCTCATCCAGCATCAGTGACGCTGGGATTTACGGATGGAAACACCACCAGTGGCTGTGGACCACCATCAAGTAGACACGTCACCGAACTTTCATGAACCATTACCATACACGGCACAGAATTTTCCTCACACTGCATAAAAAACACCCATCAGCATCCGCTTTCTATGTCGCAGAGGAGAGAGAATCCCAGTGAAAAGGAAGGAGAGAAAACAAAATATTCCAGGCCCGCTGGAAGGTGAGCGAAACAAGACAGAGTCCCAATCCTGACAATCACTTTAAAACATGTCAACCTTAACTGATTCACGTTTGCTTATCACGCCACCAGTTCACTGGCTGTCCAGTCTACTGAACACCACTGCCAAAAAGCAAGGCAGAAAATGACACACGGGATCACAACCCAATCACAACCAGGAACCTAGAGAACGTGTTCCCGACAGGTGTCACTGGGCACCAAGGGAGGAAAAGGAAGAACCCCCATGCGCCCCAGCTCTGGTCAGTAACCCATCGAACTTCTGGTCCGTGCTGGTATGTCTGCTACATTTTTTTGCAGCTGACAGGACCAGCATTCTCAAACTTCCTAATTCTGCACAGCCACAGACCACCAAGTTGCTCCGACGGCTGCTGACCAGACTGCTCCTCCCCTCCTTCATGGCCTGCTTCCTGCTTGGATCCTCCTTGTCTGACAAAAGGAGCTCTCAACCACCTCCTCGACAATCAGGCCCACACCTGGTACTGCGCCCTCTCCTCTCAATTAGGCCACAACTTTCAAGTTCTTATTCTTATTCCATGTTTGGGAATCTCAAATCCTTAGGTTCTGGATTTCTCTGGAGTGGAAGGAAGAACCTATGCTTTGCATATTTTCTAGAATTACTCATGACCTCTCCCTTAGCTCGCCCTTGTGACCAAGTACCCCTTGCTGACCCCTCGGACAGAGGAGGCCGGAGTCTTTCTCAAGCTGCTCACAGGACAGCTGAGGGAAAGGCATCTTGGGCAGCAAGACACAGACACAGCCTACAAGACACAGGCTGTGTGACAAGCAAGCCAATCACTCTGAATGGGGTTCTAAACCCTTTTAGTAAAATCTTCTATGACAAAAGAGGACAAAGGGCTGCTGACTGTCACGATACATAAAGAGGAAATATATGCTTTTTCAAGCTCATGAACAATGCATGCAAGACTTTCCAAATACTGGGCTACTTACTCTCCTAGACTTCGGTCACAAAAGGTAAGTGCATTTGGGAGAGAAACAACAATATTCAGTTATAGTATAAGAACTTTCAACAAATTGCCAACAGAGAACTTTATATTGTTACCCAGATGCTTATCTAATGGCCGTAAATACATTTAGACACATTCCTTTATTGACAGAGGTGGATTTGTTTAATTCACATAACACCCCGCTGTCAGGACGAGGAGACAGGAGCACTGCTTGAGCACAAGAGTTCAGGGGCAGCATGCGCAACATACTATAATCCTTACCTCAATGGCAATAAAGGAAAAAAATCACATTATAATACTCACTCCATAGTGAGTATACTATTTTAAGTTACCCTTAAAAGTTACCTTTAACTTTTTTAATGAGCTCCAAACCTCATGAATTGTCACTGGTGATGTATGAGCACGTGAAAATGTGCTACGTGAAAATGGAAAAACATCGACAGATGTCTGCTTATCAGATGCAACCATAGGCACAAACTCTAGACATCTCTCTCTCTCTTTTTTAATTTAAATAGAGTCATGTTATGCAGTCCAAGGGCCTGCAAATCAAAATCCACCTGCTTCAACTTCTCAAATGCTTGGATTACAAGCATGCATTACCAACCCTAGCCTAACCCTCATACACAGAACACAGTCTCTCTTTGAGAGACTCAGATAGTCACTCAGTTCTGTGCCTATTCCAAAACACAAATTTCACTTATGTCACAGCAGGGCAACACAGGGGCATGGCAAATGCACAAATGGAAGCGGTCAATGTGCCAGGAATGAGAAAGATCCCCATCCAGCCAATGAGGTCCACTGCCTGGAAGCAGGTGCTTCCCCTGAAGCAGACGTGTTTAAAAAAAGGTAGTTCACAAAACTCAATTGTAAAACAATGTTTGGATGCTTCCTGTCGGTCCCAGAGTGAACTGCAGTTCCCTGGACGACAAGCATCTCACCTTCCTCAGCCCAGAGCCTCCAAGACACAGAGAGCCTTCTATTCTAAATCCCCTCACCTCCTTCTGTTCAACTTGCAAGGCTGATTTCAAAATATCCCGGAGCTGTATTAGCTGCCTTCGTTCTTCATCCTGGGCCTGTTTGATCTTTGAAAATCAAGCAAAGCAGAGAAAAGTTAAGACTGGAACAAAATGCCGTGTGGAGTCGCCGCCGCACTTCTCCAGGAGCCATGACTGCCTCCCTCCTTCCCTCTAGTGGCTCCTGCCATTACAGGGCGTTTCCCTTCTCAACAGCACAGCATGCAAATGTGAAAGCACATAGACTGAAGAAGCCCCCCCGTGGAACTGCTGACCCCATGGAGATGGGACCAGAACAAGCCCCTGATAGAACTGCTGGTCGCACAGAGGTGGCTAACCCACCGCCAGGGAGTGGCTCACCGTGTGAAGGTCTGTGGAGAGGGTTTCAATAGAAGGCTTGAGGCTCTCTACTGCTTTCAGTCCATCCTGGAAAAAACTGGACAGGGAGAGGGGGAGACAGAGAACAGAGATTGTGCTTCAGAGAAGAGTATTTTTTTTTTAAGATGCAGGAAAACTTCTTCAAAGGAAAGTGACTCGAGTCATTATGTAATTCCTGGGAGATATGTAAAGTACCAGGCAAGCCAAGAGCGAACTGCCACTCAAAATCTGGAGAAATGATATAGAAAAGGAACCTCGATAAGCCCAAGGACTTGGGATTTTTTTCGTGACCCACATATTATCAGGCCCCATTTCCAGCTTGTAATGGAAACGGGAGTCTCCTGACAGTGGCAGCTGGGATTTCTATCAGGGACTCTTCCGAGCATCCAAATGGAGAGATGTAAGCCAAAGAACTAGAGAACCTTCTTCAAGAGGCAACAGCCATCTGGACACCAGTGGCACAGCCTATAATCCTAGCTACTCAGGAGGACAAGAGCTAGAGGCTCTTGGTTCAGCACCAGCCCTGGCAGAAAAGTCTTCAAGACTCCAGTTAACCAGCAAAAAGCCAGGCTGGAAACGTGGCTCAAGTAGTAATAGCACAATTGAAGCAAGCATGAGGCCTTGAGTTCAAAGTCCAGTACCAGGAGAGAGAGAGAGAGAGAGAGACAGACAGACAGACAGACAGACAGACAGACAGACAGAGACAGAGAGACAGAGAGAGACAGAAAGACAGAGGGGGGGGAGAGGGGGGGGGTAGGCAGGCACTGGTGGCTCACACCTGTAATCCTAGCTACTCAAGAGTCTGAGATCTGAGGATCGCGATTCAAGGCCAGCCCAGACAGGAAAGTCTGTGAGACTCTTATCTCCAATTAACCACCAGAAAACCATAAGTGGTGCTGTGGCGCAAGTGGTAGAGCTCTCAACTTGAGGTGAAGAGCTGAAGGACAGTGCTCAGGCCCACAGTTTAAGCCTCACAACCAACAAAAAAATAAAAAAACATTTTAAAGAGGTAATAACAGCCAAGTAGAGAAGCAGCAGTATACCAGAAAAAAAACAAGGCAACCTGATGTACACGAACGGCCAGGCTCCATATGCAGAGTAGGAGAGCATGGTTACAGAATGTAAAGCCAAATGCCAACATGATTTTTTTTTTTTTGGCCAGTCCTGGGGCTTGAACTCAGGGCCTGGGCACTGTCCTTGAGCTGCTTTTTGCTCAAGGTTAGCACTCTACCACTTGAGCCACAGAGCCACTTCTGGCTTTTTCTGCTTATATAGTACTGAGGAATCGAACACAGAGCTTCATGCTTGCTAGGCAAGCAATCTACCACTAAGCCACCTTTCCAGCCCCAAACATGAATATTTTTTAAGATTACAACTCAATGTGATGAGGCCACATGATAAAGGATTGAAGGAATATAACAGAAGCTGTACACGTCTTCTGCAGCAACAACTGCTAGTGCTCAGTGCTGTCTCTAACGTACGCTGTACATGTTGGGTGGAAAGAAAGAAGCTACCTACTGGGCTTAGGATGAAGTTCAAACTGGTAAGAGGCCTGGAGTGCCTCTGGGATTTAGCCCACCTGTCTCCAGTCTCGAGCCGCTGCATTTACCACCGTGGGTCATGTGGCTCCAAAGGAAGCGGTGCCCCCCCATTTTTCCTGCCTCAGGCCCCCTGTATCCGCTACTTTCGTTCTCCAAAGGCCTCTAGCTGCAGTGTGCCTACTTCACAGGCTATCCCACTCATTCGTAGCGAAAATATTACCTCATTACGAGGCCTTGCAAAATGCCCCCGTATAAAAGAGATCTCCTTAGTATATTCTCTTAGAATATTTCCTCACTTGCCTCAAAACTTTTTAATGTGATTATTACTGAGCATAAAATTTTCCCATTATATAAACAAACCCTACGTGTGGGAAGGGTATAGTTTCCACAGTGGATGGCACAGGAAGGAAAGAAAGAAAAGAAGGGAGGTTGAGAGAAAGGGGAGCTGCCGACTTCCACCAGCCCAGTGGACTTGGAAGAGACTCCGCCCAGCTCTGGTGATCCAAGTGTTCAGGTGACCTGACATTCCTTTCAAACTAAGCTGTGGCCCTGTGGGACTTCCCCATCCAAGCATGTCGGGAAGAGGGGGATCCCAGGGAGGAGGGCGTAGACAGCACACAGAAAAGGGTATGGCTACAAACCCTGCAGCAAGCTGACAGGACACATCCAGGGTAGGCGAGGCTGTGAGAATGCTCTCACCTAGCTCTTCTGATGTATGCACGGTTCTTTATTTCATTTTTTTTCTGAATATAGACCATGCTCCTGGCCTAGTAACTGTATCAGTGTCACAGTGACCTAGCCGTATATGTGTGCTATGAGGGGCAGAACCACCGTGCCTTTCCGCGCCATCAGTCATGAACTCATCTGGTTCCTGTGCTTTCTTCAATTTTTTCCTTACATCATCATTTCTTTAAGCACTTTAAATTCTGGTGAACAGAAAAGGAGAGGGAAGAACCAGAACATGAGAGAGGGAGGGAGGGAAGGATAGGAAATAGAGGACAATGACCACAGATAGCGGCACCCTGGGGAAGGGAACAGGTGCACATCCTGGCAGCCCTCCCTGCGGTGGGAGGGGGCAGGGTGGCGTCCAGAGCTGAGTCAAGTCTGGTCTCATAAATGACAGTTGCAGTGTTGCACAGGACAGTACGTGGGCTTAAGATGTGGACTCCAAGCTGGGAACTGGTGACTCACACCTGTAATCCTAGCTACTTAGGAGGCTGAAGTCAGTGAATCATGGTTCAAAGCCAGCCCAGGCATAAAGACTCTTATCTCCAGCTGACTACCGAAAAAGCAAAAGTGAAAATGTGGTAGCGTACCAGCCTTGAGCAGAAAAAGCCAAGCAAAAGCAGGAGGCCCTGAGTTTTAGACCTAATACTAGTGCATGTGTGTGTGTGCACTTGCATGCGCACGCACACAAATGCATGCACACACGCACGTGCGCATACACATACGCATACACACACACACACACACACACACAATGTGGGAGCCATCTTTGTTACAGGCTCAGTAGTCTGACTTGTCTATCTGAAAAACCTCCTCAGTCTGATTTTTCAACCCCTTTCTGTCTGTACCCCTCCTTATGAGGTATGCTGTGGAATCCAGGTGCACCTTTGAGACACACACCTACAAAAACAGAGCTTCAAAGAAAAGGAGCCTAAGGGGTGCTTTGCTGACTGTAGCCAGTTGCCATGACGCATGGAAGTCCACAGAGATTTTTCCTAAGGCAAGCCGTTAACATTTCCTCAAGCTTTGTTCAAAGACCTTCCACCATCAGTATTACCAGTTCAGCTGGGCACCAGTGGTGCATGTCTATAGTCCTAGCTACCCAGGAGGCCAAGACTTGGAAGATCTCAAGTTCAAAGCCTGCCTGGGCCAGGACAGAAAAGTCCATGAAATTCCATATCCAACTAACCAAAAACATGTCAGAATAGAGGTGTGACTTAATGGTAGAGCACCCACTGGGAACAAGACCAGCGAAGTCCTGTGCTCAAACTCTGGTCCTGGCGTACACATAAAAAAAAAAAAAAAAAAAAAAAAATTGCCGGGCGCTGGTGGCTCACGCCTGTAATCCTAGCTACTTAGGAGGCTGAGATCTGAGGATCGCGGTTCAAAGCCAGCCCGGGCAAGAGAGACCGTGAGACTCCTATCTCCAATAAACCACCAGAAAACCGGAAGTGGCGCTATAGCTCAAGTGGTAGAGCGCTCGCCTTGAGCTGAAGAGCTGAGGGACAGCGCCCAGGCCCAGAGTTCAAGCCCCACAACCGACAAAAAAAAAAAAAAAATTACCAAACCAAATTGTTCTTTGTTTTTGTTTTTTTTGTCAGTCATGGGGCTTGAACTCTGGGCTTGGGAGCTGTCCCTGTACTCTTCAGCTCAAGAAAAGCGCTATACTGCTTGAGCCACAACGCCACTTCCGGTTTTCTAGTGGTTTATTGGAGAGAAGAGTCTCATGGAGTTCCCGGCCCAGGCTGGCTTTGAACCACCATCCTCAGATCTCAGCCTCCTGAGTAGCTAGGATTACAGGCGTGAGCCACCAGCGCCCGGCCCAAATTGTATTTTCTATTAAACACTGTGTAGCCTGCTTCACCAGATTCTCAAGCCTTTGAAGTATATTCCCTTAGATGCAATCAGTGGTCTCTTCTGGACCTGGTGGTTCCAGGCTGACTCTGCCTCCTCTCCCCCACCCCGGGCCTTTATGCACCATGCTTTGATATCCCATGGGACGCCAGGTGTGCAGAGGGTCTGCAGCAGCCTTGCATGAAACCAAGCTCCTCAGGACTCATCGACGTGGCATCCCAAGTCCATCGAGTGGCAGGCCAGCCTGGGTCTCAGCAGGCATGTGCTCAGGATGGACGCAAGGAGTAAGCCAATTCCACACTTGTGTCTCCTGCTCAGGAGATGACTATCTTATGCTACACCAGGCCGTACCAGGGCTGTCCTAGTCCTAGATTCTAGAGAACAGAACCCTCCTTCTCTAGCAGCACAGGCCCAGAACACAAGTGAAGTACTCTTCAAAGTACTTCAAAAAGCAGAACACAAACATGAGCACACAGCAAAACAATACACAGCTAAGTTGCTCAAAGGGCTCCTAGAACCTGGGTGACACACAGCAGTCTCTCCCATCCGAGGACAACAGCCCATGGAGGCAGCGTGGGCTGGGCAGGCACGCATCAAGCTTCTGGGGCTTCTGGGGCTGAGACTAGAGATACATGATGCGAAACATGGGTCACATGGTGACCCCACAAGTTCCTGGGGTCCCACAGCCAACTCTCAGGCCCCACATTTTATCCTCCAAATGTTAATTTTAAAAGTGGAAGTCTATTCACTAGACACTAGGTTGAAAATGGACTATACGATTTATGGGTGGGAATGACTGGGAGAGAGCAAGGGAAGGTGACATTGTCCAAAAACAAATGTACTCATGACCTGACCTCACTGTAACCCTCGGTGCATCACCCTTGTAGTAACAACCGAAAACAAAAATACAAAATAAACAGAAACTCGTGAAAAAGTGAAAGCTGCCTAACTGACCTGGGGAACACGGAGTGTGAATGTGCACACACACGCACACATGCATGCACGCACACGCGCGCGCGCACACACACACACACACACTCTCATCCAAGAAGGAAGCAGTAGATGATTCGTATTTTAAAAGGTTACTGAGCTCTTGCCCATATAAGGTCAACTCATTCACTTTCCACAAGTGGTCTGTTGCTACCCAACTGATAGTTTGGGCAAAATAAAGAAGAAAAAGGAAATCTCAGAATAGCTTCTTCCTAAAAATAAAATGTCAGCAAGGAAGCGACCCACTTCCTACATTACCTCCTATCAGGTCACTGCTCCTGGAGAACAGAGAGGGGAGGGAGCCTGCGTGCCGATCACATGCAGGGTTTGAGCCTTGTCAAAGCATGCACTTTGAAAATTCTCCATGTGTAGTCCTCCACCCTCTTTTATCCTAGGACGAGCCCGCTCAGCACACAACTGCACAGAAGCAGAGCGGCAGTGAAAATCCACAGCACTCTGTTCAAGGTGACCTCACAAGTCCCTGCGACACACACATGCTAAGTGTGACACACACATGCTAGGTGTGACACACAAGCTACGTGTCCACATCATGCCCTGGAGATGGAAACAAACAGATGACACAGCCTTCCTACGAGTGAACAGGTCCTCGGTGGACAGAGACACGGAGGAGGGCTCCATCCAGGCGACCGCAGAGGACACTGCAGAGGCCCAGGTCAGCAAAACAAGACTGTCATGGCACTCAAGATCCAGGAGCTGGGCCCCAGGGGAAAGCAGAGCTGGTAACGACCCAAAGGAACATGAGGACATTCGAGGAAAAGGAACGATGTGTGTGCAACAAGACACCACAGCCTGGGGAAAGGCCCATTCAGAAGGTGAGGGGACAGGTGTGTTGCAACCTGACCTCTGAAAGAGTTCTCAAGCCACCCACGTGTGCACTCATGCTGGGCTGACCAGTCCAGCTGCGCCATCATCTTTACACTGCCCTGGGCACCAGCCAGGTACCTCAGCAATAGCTCACATCCACTCTTGTTCCATCTGTTCCTTCTTGCTACACCACAGCCTGTGCCTTTTCACAGACTCAGTTCAGTGTCCGCTCGTGGGACTCCTACAAGTCTGTCCAATAATCCTGAGGTCCACAAGGGAAGAACTTCGGTTTTCTGCCTTCTTGGATCACCAGACCCTCAAGCAGGCCCTGGCAACCACAGGAACTCTGAGGAAGTGAATCCTACACTCAAAACTATCCCGGAGGCTGGGGCCGGGGGCTCACTTCTGTAATCCTAGCTACTCAGAAGGCTGAGATCTGAGGATGGCGGTTGAAAGCTAGACTGGACAAGAAAGTCTGCGAGACTCTTGTCTCCACTAAACTACCCAAAAAAGCTCTGAGTGGAGCCGTGGCTCAACTGGTAGAATGTTAGCCTTGAGCAAAAGCTCAGGGACAACACTCAAGCCCTGGGTTCAAGTCCTAAGACAAGAACTGCCCTTCTCAAAAAAAAAAGGAGTACACACACACACACACACACACACACACACACACACACACACACTCCTTATCTCTGGGCTCCTGCTCATAGGTCATAGCGCACATGTCTCTTGAAGAGGCCTGCAGGGAACTCAAGAAGTATCAGTGCCAGGCACTGGGTCTGTCTTTGGAAAACGTAACAGTGAACAAAACAGAAAATTAGGAGAAGTAAAAACCTAACCCTAAATCAAGTTTTTCTCTCTGATTTACATACTTCAGAACAATTTTTAGAAACACCCAATGTTTTTCTTTTATTTTGTTTTTGAGAAAAGTCTTGCTATGCATCCCAGGCTGGCCTTGAACTCTTAAGTCTGTCTGTCTCCTGAAAATTGGGCTTATGGGTACGTACTACTATGCCCAGCTGTCAACATCTATTCTTTGTTCCAACTCCCCAACTTTATTCTCCCAGCAGAACTATGCCCATATTGCGCATCACTGTATCTTAGTACCTCCCCTGGAGTCTGACACAAACACATGTGGTGAACAGTGGTCAGGTGTGTGAATGAGCCATGGGGGTGTCTATCCAGTGACTTCCAGGTCAGGCAGCAGAAACGATAAATCAGACTACAAGGGACTGATGGCTGGGGAAAGCTGAGTACAGTAGCACTTCAGCACACAAGTTTCTCTCTACTCTGACCGTCTTCTGCTTTCATCATCATTGGTTCTACAGGATCAGTGATAGATGAGAGAATTTTCTCAATACCCTGTATGAACACCTCATTTCTCTTCTAATAAAGATATCTGAGATGATGGGGTAAAATCAAACAAATTTGGCAATCACTGTAAATTTTTTTATATCACACATACTTCCACTTTAGTTGAAATGTAATCCTCAAACCGCACAATTAGCTATTTCGAACTGTATGGTGTAATATTCACTGACTATTCTCACCAAGTTGTACAATCAGCACTAACACCAGAATGTTTACATGATCCAAAAAGGCACCCCCACACCCATTAGTGGTCATTCCCATTTCTTCTTTTGCTCAGGCTGTGGCAAACACTAATCTGCTTCTGCTCCCTATGAATTCACTTATTCCAACTTGTCAAATACCCGGAGTCTCACAGCACGTGGCCTCTGGGCTCCCTTCCCTGGCATGCGCACGCTCCGTCCGGCCTTCCATTCCTCCCCCATGGGTTTCTAAGTGTGTGCACTCCTCCGCACAGCACTACTGTCTGTCAGGAGCCGCCACTCACAGAGAAGCATTCAAACACTCTGAAGAAGAGGAGACTTACTTGCACTGGGCATGGAAGTATTTGATGAGATTTTGGAGTAAATCCACTCCTTTTTTGATCTTGATTTCATTGACCTTCAGCAGATACTGTCCAGAAACAAAGAGCGATCATCAGAGAAATGAATAGAATATGAACTTAACAGAAGTTTCAGAAAGACAGGTTATTTCTCCACTTATTTTATGTCTTTTACAAAAGGCAAAGTGCCTAGCACATTTAATACCACCACCACCTCCTCCTCCTCCACCACCACCACCTCCTCCTCCTCCTCCTCTTCCTTCTTCTTCTTTTTTGATCCTGGGGCTTGAACTCTGGACCTGAGCACTGTCCCTCAGCTCTTCAGCTCAAGACGAGTGCTCTACCACTTGAGCCATAGCACCACTTCAGGTTTTCTGGTGGCTTATTGGAGACAAGAGTCTCACAGACTTTCCTGCCCAGTTTGACTTTGAACTGAGATACTCAGATCTCGGCCTCTTGAGTAGCTGGGATTACAAGCATGAGCCACCGCCACCCAGACTTAATATCTTCTGATGCTATAATTAAATGTTTCTTTTAGGGGCTGGGAAGGTGGCTCAGTGGTAGAGCGCTTGCCTTGCATACGAGGCCCTGGGTTTGATTCCTCAGCACCACATAAGCAGAAAAAAAAAAGCCAAAAGTGGCACTGTGGCTCAAGTGGTAGAGTGCTAGCCTTGAGCTGAGGGACAGCGCCCAGGCCCAGAGTTCGGGCCCCACGACTGGACCCCCCCCCCAAAAAAAAATGTTTCTTTTAGAGCCATCTTAACTGTCAAAAGTTTAAGAGCCAAGAACTCATCAGACACTCTACAGTACCTTGCCGGGACAAGGTCTCACCCGGGCTACACAGAGGGAGCAGGGCAGCTGGGCTGAATGCAATTTCTAACCATCATGTGTCTCCAAGGCTCACATTCTGTGCCAGGGCCCTTGCTTTAGGAAGGTCATTACTCACAACACTAATTGCTAAAATTCTGTAGCTGAGGTCTTCGCCTTCAAGGAACTTCCCCCTACAGGTGACCATTTTATTTTATTTTGTTGGTTGGTTGGTTGTGGGGCTTGGACTTGGGGCCTGGGTGCTATCCCTGAGCACTTTTGTTCAAGGTTAGCGCTCTACCACTTTGAACCACAGCACCACTTCTTCCAGTTTTCTGAAGCTTGATTGTAGCTAAGAGTCTTACACACTTTCCTGCCTGAGCTGGCTTTGAACTACAATCCTCAGATCTCGCTCAGCCTCCTGAGTAGCTTGGATTATAGGCATGAGCCACTAGCGACCAGCTAAAAATTTTTTTTGTTTGTTTTTGGTCATTCATGGGGTTTGAACTCTGGGCCTGGATGCTGTCCCTCAGCTCTTCAGCTCAAGGTGAGCACTCTACCACTTGAGCCACAGTGCCACTTCTGGTTTTCTGGTGGTTTAATGGAGATAAGGGTCTCACGGATTTTCCTGCCTGGGCTAGCTTTGAATGGTGATCCTCAGAGCTCAGCCTCCTGAGTAGCTAGAATTACAAGCGTGAGCCACCGGAGCTTGGCTACAACCAACTAAATTTTAAATTAAATTCAAGCCATTTTGAAGTTAGAGAATTCATTAAAGACAAGCTATCAGCAAGCCACAGGGACCTATAAAACTAGCATTGAGAAATGCTGTCCTTTCTCAAAGGATTGGAGAATACACACTGGGGAATCTCTCACTACCAAAACTGTTGAGTGGTCCTTAAAAAGGACCCTGAGATCATCCTGTGTAGCCTCTGTTTCCTCTCTCTCCGGGTGAGGAGACCAGAGCTACTCTGAGTCCACAGGCTACTAATTTCCTTTTCTCTCCAACAGCTGCTTACACTTAAGCATGTCCTCTTCCTTACTGAGATATATTCGCTGTTAATTCAATGTCTGGCAACTTATCAAAATGATACAATTGTTAATAAAATGCTTGGCAGTATATCAAAACATAAAATGCATGTACTCTTTGACCCAGAAACCCAACTTACAGAAACTCAGTCAGAAACATATTTCAGAAAAGTTTACAGAGGTGAAGATGGAAAGAAGATTCATGGTCGTATCTGTCAAAGCGCATTGCTGCCACAAGGTAACGAACGCCACCCACCGCCTCAGGCTGTGCTGGGTGGCGGGGAAGTAAACCCCAGCGGGATAGGAGCTGTTTCACTGTGCACCCATGGGCACCTGCCGGGGCTTCACCAATCAAAGGCCTCCAGGATCTTGCGGAAATGCTCCCCATGTCCACCCCAGCACCTTGAGCCTGCCTATCCCTGAGGCACTAGCACTCTGTCTGGAGAAAGCAGTTCCCCGGGCACAGAGGATTGTCCTCAAGTGCCATGAAGGTGCCAAGCCCTCCGTCTCTGACTCCAGCGGTGCAGTGAGAACCCGGGTACCTCATGAAAGCATACCCAAGGACTGGGTATCTTAGCTGATTCCAGTGAGAGGAGCATGTTGAGAGCATGTGAAGCCAAAAAGGACATTATGCTTTCTCTACTTCCAATAAAAGACTGGGTGTGGTAGAGTGACCTAATTCTGTCACCAAGAGACTAAGGTGTCAGTACAGAAATGGAGTTCAGTAATCCATCTGGTGTCTGATCTGAGGCCACAGGTCTGAGCAGAGATGACATCACTGGGGAGGAGTCTAACGCAGGCCATACTGCAGTCCTATGTGTGTGTGTGTGTGTGGGGGGGGGGGGGGGCGTGCCTTCCCAGCATCTCACCTCACACATCTGCAGCTGGAAGAACCGCCTCTCCTTTTCCATCTCCTCCGCAATTTCAGCACCACTTATTTCAGTCCGTATCATCCCGTGGAGCTTGGCATGTTCCTTTTTCTCCTTTTCTATTTTGGTTCTGTGTGTGAAGAAAAGCAAGCATAAAGCAAGAGGCCTCTTGACAGGGCTCTCTGACATGGATGGCCTCTAAGCTGTCCCATTCCCTAGACTGCCGAGACAAATACTCACTGCATGAGCAAAAGGAAACTGTCCATTGCCGTAAAAATACCAGATCTGGCATTCTCACTGTTCAATCAACGGACTTCCTAAGCACTGCTGAGTGCATCTGCACAAGCTCACACCTCCCTCCCCGCCTTCCTCTCCCAGCATCCCCGTGGCTTTCTCTTCATCTTCCGAACCAGAGATGATATCCAGACTCTCCAGCCTCCCCTGTCTAGTATTCAGCCCTATAGAATTGCCCAGCTCATCTTTTCCTTCCTTATGGCCCTTAGCAGACTGACCTCAGGCTGAATGCTATCATGGAAGCGTCAAGGGTAAGCTTACGTTAAACTGACCGGCTAGAGCACACTCCAACAAAAACCATCAGGTAAAACAAGCTACAAAATCACTTCAACCCTGAAGGGCTGGGAATTTTTTTTTCTTTTGTGAGGAGATTAAAGAAAGGTGACAGAACGTACTCCATCTAAAGGGCTGTCAGGAAGGAGGCCAGAGAGGCATTTCCTGTAGGGAGATTTAAGGCAGCACTTTTAGCACAAAGACTCAAGGTGGCACTTGGAGACACAAGGTGACATTTTCTTTAAAAGCCATTCAATGGGGGGGAAAAAAAGCTACCTGGGGTTCCTGAGAGTATCATCACAAACCACTACTCTCGACAGTTGATTATGCCCAGGAATTCTAAAGACATCTTAAACCCCATTGGTACACAGCACAAGGCCTCTTGGAATGGATAGAGAATACTTAGCGGGTAAAGAACTATTTATTTATGCATTCTACAATGATTCGAGTTTAAAGGGTGCCACCACAGCTCCTCAGATTCTGGGATTTTGTGAGTAATTCTGTCCCCACCCCATCCACAGGTGTCTCGACCGTACAGTGGGAGTGGCCGGATGGAAGTCAGAAGACCCACCTCCTGCTCCTGCCCCAAGACACTCACCGGGTGAGCAGCAGCCACCCCTGGGTCTTGGTTTCCTATCTGTGAATCAGGAATGCTGACTTCACTCAAGTGGCCACAGATAAAGGATGCTGAAGGCTAGGGATAACTGGCTGGTAGTCTTCACAAATAAGAATATACAAGCTTGTTTTTTGTTGTTGTTTTGTTTTTGTCGGTTGTGAGGCTTAAACTCTGGACCTGGGCGCTGTCCCTCAGCTCTTCAGCTGAAGGTAAATGCTCTACCACTTGAGCCACAGCACCACTCCAGGTTAGCCACTCCAGGTGGCTAATTGGAAGTAAGAGTCTCTTGGATGTTGCTGCCCAGACTGGCTTTGAACTGCGATCCTCAGATCTCAGCCTTCTGAATAGATAGGATTACAGGCATGAGCCACCAGGCTTACAAGCTTGTTTTAAAAGGGCCCAGATAACCACTTAGGATTACATTTAAAGTGATTTCCTCATAACACGTCTTAATTTGCCAGATGGCTTCCTCTTAAAGTTTCTATTTCCATTCATAAAACTCTCCATTTACCCAAGGCACAGAGATCACAAAGTAAACATGGGACATTTAAAAAATATTTCGTAATTCTCCAGTATTTAAAATAATTAAATACTTAGTCCCACAAGGGCAGGGTCTACTCTAGCTAGACTCTGCCTACCCTGGAATGAGAAGCCGCGAAGGAAAATGTTAAAACTGTGTGAAGTCAGCTGAGGCAGAATCTGTGGTCCACATGGAAGCGTCAACTAGCCCACTTGCGTCTTCTGTTCTGGTAGGTGATGCAATCAAGGAAAGCTGCATCTTTCTAAAGTCATGTGTGCTGGTATTTCAAAGATATAAGAACCTACAGCTAAAAGCAGACGGTTTTTAAAAATCACCAGGAAAATGAAGTCTGAAAACTGCACTGCTGTCCTATGTGGTACTGAAACGTGGAAAGCACTCAAAAACAAAGAAGGAATACCTCCTGGGGAAAACTAGCTTCCACTTCCTTCAGTGAACTTTCCTGAACATGAAACCAACCTGACACTATCCATGAAGTCCCAGGTCAAAGCCACCATCTCTGACTGTAGACACCAGGTACATTAGCATCTGACCTCCCAACCAATCACAGCCATGCAGCCATATGTAAATTCTTTCCTGGATTCCTGCTTATTCAGACAACCCCTTTGAGCAGTAAAGTTTGAGTTAAAATTGAAATCTCCAATTACCTACACACAACCTTAAAAATGAAGACTCACATTTTTGTTTCATAGTCCTTCCAAGCTTTATCAAAGGGCTTTTTCAGATCCTGTCGACAAAGAGGCAGCAATTAAGGACAAATCATTAACTTCTGTGCCACAAAATTCCTTGTCCTAAGCCAGTCCTGAACAGAGCATTAATTTCTGTAATAAATGATGCATGGAATCTCATGAAAAATAAAAAACACACCATAGGCTTTGAATAAAGACTGCAGGTGGCATGGCATAGCTTTCTCTCTCTTGTTTAAAGTATTTATTACAAATATATGAAATTACACAAAAGGAGAGTGACAATGCAATGCGCATCACCCAGCCGTCATTCTCTCCCCCCTCATCACCTGGAACCTAGGTGTACCCTAAAATTAAACCTGAAAAGACAACATGGGACTTGTCTCCAAGACTGAGCCGTCTCAGCAGAAGTCTCCAAGATGGGCCAGACCCACACATCGTGTGCAGACCCAGCTGAAGGTCTCAGCCCCCCACACCCCCACCGTTCCACCTCACAGCCCTGTGGTATAAGAGCATCCGGTGAGCAGGGTTCTGAGTGCCGTACCCCTTTTACTCCTTTCAGGTCTCCTTTCAGCAAACTGTCCAAAGGGAAGGAGATTATGTTGTTCATATTTTGAATCTAAAAAATAAAAACAAAGAAGGATTTTTAAAAATCCACTTCCCTTTTTAATCTAAAGTAGTCATTGCAAGCACGCTGGAGGACATTTGGTAACTAATAACCTTCTGGTAAGGCCTGGCCGGCACAGACAGCCTAATTCCGGCTCTAACGGTTTTACTTCATGAGTGAAACATATAAGTAACCAATGCTCGTATGTGTAAACAGTTCACAGTAACAACTTTATAACGGTAAGCTATGAAGTTTGTGAAATGACAGTAATTGGAAATAAAAAGAACAATTGCTTTGAAGAGCCTTGAAGAAAGGAAACGACCCTAAGCCGCTCTCCCGGCTGCCCCAGCCCCGCACCCCACCCACACTGCCGTGCCCAACGTGGCGGCAAGTGCCAACCGCCTGCGGGGAGGGAGGGGCGCTCATATGCGGAGTGTGCGAGTGAGAGGGAGGACTGTGAATGCCGCAGTGAGTGTGTGAGAGAGGGTAGGGCGAGAGTGTGTCTGAGAGTGTGGGTGGACATGTGAAGGTGTGAGGCAAGAGCCAGCACAAGAAAAGGAGACGGCCAGGGAGGGGAGAGACAGGGGCCTGGGGGCTCTCCGGGAGCTAAGAACAGGCACTGGTTTGAATTTCTGCCCCGGAGTCAACTGAATGGACTCAAGCCCTCCTGACACACTCATGGCAAGCTCCCAAAGCTGCAGCGCCCTGCCTGCGACACAGTCCAGGCACACACTCACGTTCTGACCCTGAGACTTGCTCTCCAGAGGGGAAAGAGCCGGAAGAGCACCAGCAAGTTCTGGGCCACGCAGGGCTGCTGTGATCACGTTACAGGAGAGAGCAAGGGAGGGCCGCAAACGGCCACTTTGGAACCTCCACATTTGTTCCCAAAATCAAGTAAAGGAATCATTTTTTAGAATCATTATCTTCAATAGGAGGATAAAACAGGCAGTAATTTAAGGCAATACAAGGTGTGACTTCCCAACAATTCAGAGCATGAAATTTTCAAACTCACTTGAGAAATACCGTTAGGGTGTATAAAAATGCCTGCCCCAACAACCGACCCTTCCAACCACCAGATGAACGACTGTCGCGTCAGAAGTGTTTGAGTAATTTTTGCCTAGCACTACAGTCAACCTTTGTTCCGCTGGACCTGGCGGTCCTCCACGGTGCACCCATCTGCTGTGACTTGTGAGGATAGCCCAAAACAGAAACTTACAAATAACCTATTTAAGGGGAGGTCGACGCAGGACAGCAACACCTAGAAGGCCTGCCATCACTAATCCTTAGGACACGCACACCTGGGTCTCCATGGGAACTGCATGGCAGGCAGGCAGGCCGCCACCACACCCCGTGGCACTCTTGGCACTTCCTTTACCATGGACCCTGCCTTCCCCTCTCTGGCTAGCATACCCCCAGGACACGCAGCCACCCCACACCAAGCTTTCTCTAGCTTCCAGGCCTCTCTACAACATAATGCTTCCATATCAGGGGCCTAAGCGGGACCCCGGAGCCTCTTCTCTGGTAAATGAGGGTGCCCCTGCTCCCTGTCAAGGGCTGCTTGTCTCCGCCCGTGCCAGTCCCTCTGTCCGAGCTGCCAGGCTTAGCCAGGGCTGTCTCTAATAAATCCTAAACTTCCTGTTCCTGCATTTAGGACCTTCCACAGTTCATCTCCTTTGCTATTTTCCACCTGCACAGTCAGCCTCCTGAATTATGCTTTCCTGACCTGAGGTCCACCCTCAATCTGTCCCCAAACTGAAATGGTCCAGGTCTGTAACGCATAACTCAAAGATCAACTTCCCCATGAAACAGCCCAATGCCCCCACAGGAAGTCATCCCTCCCAGAACTCCCATTTTCTCTCCATTCTCCAGCGTGTGGCAGGTCCTGCCTGCGTCCACCTTACTGACCTCACAAGGTATGCGCTAAAGTCTGTGCCCATCTGTGAAACACTCTACATACCCCACCCGTCTAATGCAGGTGCGGGCTGAGGACAATGCTCACACAGCACGTGGGGTAAATCGGCATGTGTTAACACTGTTCTGAGTACCCAGTACATGACAGACAGCTATAAGAAGAGTTCAGATACAACCTGAGTTATATACATTTACCTTTAAGCCAGAAAGACCTGGGTGTGGGTGTGGTAGCACATGCCTATAATCCTAGCACTCTGGAGTTGGAGGCAGGAGGAACGCAAGTTCAAGGCAGCCTGGGCTGAGTCCTAGGCCAGCCTGGGCTACAACAGAGATCTGTCCTCCCCCCAAAAAATTTTTTTAATGAAACCAAACATACTTTAGCAAATGCAGGTGTAAATTAGCCAATTCATTCATCACATAGATATGGAGTCTGTTTTACAGACGCTAGCTATGAAGGTAAATGAAACAATGCCGAAGCACATGCGTACACACTAAGGGCCACAAGCTCAGCAGCGTACATCAGAGAGAACAGTGTCTCCCCTCACTAACCCAGGGGCTTCAGGTTTAACAATGTGGCCAGCCAGTGCGGGATGGAAGACGCCTGTCCCGCTTACTGTCACTCACAATGCTGCTCGCTCATCTATGCTCACACATGCCACGGTCCTCACAGGCATGTAGAGTCCATCTAATGCTGTGTGCAGGGGAGCCCGGCCAAAGTGGACGAGACGCAAGCCAGTAACAGCATCAACAGCCCACATGGACTCCCAGACACTCAGGGCTGCTCACGGTGCAGTGGAAGCAGAGGCCGCAGGGCCATCAGCCATCGCATGAGTGGGAGGAAGAGAGCAAGACCCTCAATGATTAAAGAATCGTACTTCTAGGAAGGACCCCCAGCAGGCTTTTCGTGAAGGGGAGGAATATAGAAGTAGGAACAGGAACGTATGCATGAGTAGGAAAAAACGAGACTCTGTATGGCAAGGATATGAATCACCATTTGGTTTATACATCTATTGAGGCTATTTGTTATTTAATTCAAATGCAAGCTTAAGTCCTGACAGGAGATTTATTGGGGAGAGAAGAAGGGAATGCTGCGGCGCTAAAATAGTAAAGCAGCTAACTATGAAAATAGAGAACAGTGCACAATCTGTGGATACCCACACACTTGGCTGACACACTTTCATTCCTCATTCACTTAAGCAGTGAGTGGTTCCTGGGTTGGGCACCGGGACTGGACCCACGGCCTTCGGTGGACAGAGCCAATGCCAACACAGGAGGCACACACAGCCTTAGGAGAGCAGGAGCAGGAAGAAGCTGAAGGCGGGGGGGGGGGGGGGGGGTTGCAACATGTAGAAGAGTTAGATAGATCCTCAGGAATTCATGGCTTCCCCTTCATGAAGAGAAGGAAATAAGCTATCTGTTTAAGTAAACCACATGCAGATTCCACCCGCCATAAGTAAAACAGCAGAGGTTTTCTGAGAAAGCTCACTTGTATCCTACACACCAGGGAAATTTTTGTTGTGTAGGGGATGGATGTAAGACAGACTGCAAAGACATGAGAAAATGATGGGGACAGGGCAGCCCAGACAATGCAGGGAGGCGGGAGAGCAGGGGAGAGGCTGTTGAACCCTAAAGGCTGGGAAGAAAAGTTGGGGCACCAGGTCAACCAAGGGAGTCTTGGTTAACACTCACAAGTTTTTCTTCCTAAGAGTTATTAAGGGCTGGGGTGTAGCTCAGTGACAAAGCACTTGCCTAGCAAGTGCAACGTCCTAGGTTCGATCCCCAGGACCAAAAAAAAAAGAAGTAAGTGCTGTGGCTCAAGTGGTAGAGCACTAGCCTTGAGCTGAAGAGCTGAGGGACAGCACCCAAGCCCAGAGTTCAGGCCCCACGACTGACAGAAAAGGAAAGAAAAGGAAAGGAAAGGAAAGAAAAAGTTATTAACAGAGACTGAAGGTAGATCAGTGGTTGTCCAAAGCTAGATGAGATGAGATTAACCGTAAGGAAGAGAATGTCATAGAATAGAAGAATGGTGAGAGGTCACTGGTGGTTTTCACTATATGTAAAATAAACTTCAGGAAAGCTGCCCATTTAAGAAAGGCATCGTTGCAAAGGTAAATGGAGAAAGCCTCAGGTGCTCCTGCCCAAGACCCTGTGCCATGTACAGCTTCTGGGCATGTGTCACAGGGCAGACTTCCCAGGAACGGTCCCTGACCACCCTCTCTGTCTGGCCGAAGGGCGAGGGGATCCAAGCATCCTGCAGCAGCACCTGTGGCAGGGCGGGTGAGAGACTACAAGCATTCTCACTGTGTGGAAGAAGCTCAGGTGAACTGCTTTCCCCACGTAATGGTCAGGAGAATGGACACACAACCAAAGAAGAGAGGACCATTCCCCATTGCTCCAGCTGTTCCAGCCTCCTCTCCATGAGCTATGAAATCTTTATGGATCCATAGAGACCAGACCTGGGCACTCACTCAGAATGTTCTTAGCTCCAAGCAAGAATCAGCACTGTCCTACACTCTGACTTATTCCAGATATGACCATTACCAAAAAATGGGCTTCTGAAACAGCAAGCACACTGGAAAACAAATGATCAATCACTGCCATAAACTAGGGGTCAACCAATATGCAATCTATTCAAGTAATTTTCCTTCCCTTTTCCTCTCTCCCTCTTCCTTTTCCTATTTTTGCTTTGCCAGAGCTCACCTGAATACGTCTGACAAGAGGAGCCAGACCAAGTCAGAATCTATAATCTCACAAGTACAAACAAAGTGATTTGGTCAGCAGAATAGACAGCAGGTGTGGATGCTGAAGGTCAACAACAAAACCATTATATAATGACACAGCCGATGAGCAAAGCGGGCTAGAGTATGACCTCCGAAACCACCATGGTTTCATACTGTTCTTCCTAATTTTTATTTATTTGGCCTTAAAACTCCTTTAGTCTACTTCTACCACCTCCTACCTGGCTCAAAAGTCGCCCCTACCCCTCTGGTCACTGTTCCCTGGAACTTCAGGCCCACCCCAGGCGGGGCAGAGGCCGCATCTCTCTAACCTAGGCATCTAGCAAATCCTTGCCATCTGACCTTGCCCAAGGGGTTGACTGC